TGACTTCCCCCTCTTAATCACTCATGTCACACCGAGGCATGATCTATTGGTGAGTTTGCTTAACACGAGTCAGACAAGAAAGAACCGACCAGCCGCGCAGGGAGCCCAGGCCCTGGGGCCACCAAAGCTGGGTTCACGTCCCAGCCCCATCACTACCGATGTGTCTCTCTCCGAGACTCAGAAACTAAACTTCCAAGTGGGCTGGGGAGAATATTAACCATCTAGGAGGCTGGTGGGAAGGATGAGAGACTCTGTAACACTCCGAGTATACAGTCGGGGCATAATACATGGTGCTCTTCTACAGGGAAAGGAGTCCCAGTCCTTGTATCATCCAGCAACATCCTTCCTGTGAAGTGAATTCGGGAGGGATGTCCATCCTTATGGGGCCCCCTCGCTCCACCAGAGGGAGGGCGAGTAGTAGTGGGCACTGAAGATGCTGGGGTCGTGCTCATTGGGCTTTTGTGTTCATCTGGTCCCCTGGCCGTCACAAGGACGTCCGGAGGCGTGTTAAATCTGGAGAAAGGGAGGAAGGGCCAGCTGACCTCCGGTGACCCGGGATGAGCGGGCCATGTGGACAGACATAGACCCCAGCAACTCTCTGCTGTAATCTCCTGACTCCTGAGGGGACAGAAAGATCGGGAATAAATAAAAGGGAAGATAGATCAGAAGAGGCTGAATAAAATTTTAAGAGGTTATTTAATCATGACTCAAGGCAAGTTCAAGTTGGTGATGAATCTTCCACTGTCAGGCTAAAAGCAATAACATGGGAAGAGTTTAATGCACTTTTATCACTCTTCATGGAAAATATTCTGCTTTTCTGTGAATTCTTCCTAGACTGTTATTTGGAAAGTAAAGTTTATACTAATTACCTGCCAGGAAAAATCATGATGAACTTAATATAGATCAGGGCTTAAATTTTTTAAATGTTACATCAATTTTGACCAGTGGAACAGGGAGGGGCCGTGTCATGGGAGGGTGTGGAAGATGCCACCAGGAGGCGCTAGACTCTGTTTTAGCCTACTTGTGGATTGGCCAGTCACTGAATTTCCAGTTTTCTCCTTTATAAAATGGGGTGAATGATACTTACCTCTCAAGACGATCACAAGATTCAAAATGAAAATGAGTTGTTCAATGTAAAATATATGTCTAGGTACAAGGGACTGTCGAAAAAGAAAGCAGCATTTTGAGAAAGCAGCAGTTTACCTATTTGTGAACTTTCTCACGAACCCAAAGTCTGGGACCGAGTGGTTTTGCTCCGCAAGCTCAGCCCCCACGTGGCTGCGGTTTGGGCGTATTCTCCGATGTGTTGCTCCGGTGGCAGGGGGCGCTCTGAGATGCTGACCACGCCTGTCAGCATGCATTTCATTAACAATAAGTCAAGAATAATAGCCTTGACTCCACACCAAAGATCACTAGCGGATTGTGCCCCGCCATCATTTATAAACTTCAGCGAATGAGAAGCTATTGTAAACACCCGAACGTTCCACAGGTCCCCCTGTGAATGGCTGTTGGGCGTGTAACACGTGTTGATGGAGAAAATCCATGTGGTCACATAGATTCCTGGACCACAAAGGTTCAAGGCTCTAATTCCTACCCAGTGTGAACGAATGTTTGTTTTCACTTCCCCCAATGTCCCCAAATACAGCCCGTGAGAGTTTAAGAAGTATGTTTTTCCTCTTTAATACAAGCCATGAGAAGCATTTTCCCATAGAAAAAATGTAAATAATAAGCAGAGTCCCAGAAAAACCCATAAACATCCATTTTGCATGTGCTGTAGCTACCGCATGCGCGAGTTTCCTTCCTTCCCTGCGCGTGGGTGAGAAGGAGCGCCCCCAAGTGGTCCAGAAGCGTCCTGAGCAGCCCAGGGGAAGGTGCCACGGGAAGCTTGGTCCTCCCTCCTTAGGGACCTTTGGGTTCTACTTCTGCTTGAATGACGTGTCCGTCCATGCATCCACTGAGAATGTATCGAGCATTTATGTCTGCCAGACCCTGCGGACAAAACGGCGAGCAAAGCAGTCACAACCCTACCTGCACGCGGGTGACATTTGTTAAGGAAAAACGAACTTCAGGAGAAAACTGGAGCCAACCAGCTTAAACCCGTGAGCAATAAACACAGCCTGGAGCGGAACCGAATACGCCGTTAGGATGCCGCTCCCCAGCGCCCCCTGCGGCCTCCGTTGTGCATGGCGGCGCCTTCTGCCTCTGCTCCAGCCGCGAGTTTAGCTCTGCAGCTGGCGGGATACACTCCCCGGAGCATCTATCTTCCTGGCTGCCTGGAGCATCGGAGCGGGACGCTCCCTGGCTGCAGGCTCCAGAAAGGAAATGGAGATGGAACACGGCCTAACAGCCAACCGGGAGGCGACAGAGGTCTCCGCGTCCTGAATTCCAGGAGGCGGAGCTGCAGGCGTGGGGGCCGGGCCCCCAGAGGGCGGTGAGGGCCGGAAGGTGAAGAGGGCAGGCTGAAGCTGACCAGATGTTTACTGTTCTTCGGGGCCCCGGGGGAGCTTCCTGTGTCTTCCTTCCAGTGAACGCTTTCCTGTGCTTTTGGGAGAACACGTCCCTCTCTTTCGTGAAAGGACGCAGTTGCACAAAATCACTGCAAACCCCAGGGCGGGCATGAGTGTCCGGCCACTGGAGGCCTTTCCTTAATGGGGAGGTAGGAAGCCAGCTCACTTCCCAGCACGTGGGCTCCTGGGACGAAGGGACTGGGCTCTTTCCCCGATTCTGAGCTGCCAGCCGGCACCTGGAGGAAGATGGAAAACTCGGCATCAGGGGGCCTCAGTTTCCTCTGTTCCCGCCACTTCCCGGCTGTGTGACCCTGAGCAAGTCCCTCTCCCTCTCTGGGCCTTCGTTTTCTCGACTGTGAGGGCCCGGCGGCTCCAGCGTTCCTCCAAGGCTTTGAGAGGAGCTGAGGTTGGTGCAAGCTGGGCAGCCCAGGGCTTGCACAGCCCACGTCAGGCCCCTGGGGAGGAAGAGAGGGCAGCAGACCACCCTGGCTGAGCAAAGTTCAAGGGCGCCCACAGCCACACCTCCTTCCCCGGACGTGCACACGGTGGCATTGGCCGGGCACCATGGGGAACTCGGAGAAAGACTGGTGGTGGCTTTCCCCTGGCTTTCCAAAACTGGGTTGGACCAAGCGAAAACGCCAGGGATTGTTCAAGTCTTCACCCCAGAGCAGCAGCACCCACCCGGCTCAACAGTGACTGCTCACGGGCCACCCACTGGCCTGCCGCACGGGGGAGGGGCGGCAGAGGGAAGGGAGAGCTCTGGCGGCAGAGACCAGGTTCCTGGAAGGGCCCGGGGAACGAGCTGGAAAAGCCGTTTAGGGTTTGGTGCTCCTGCGTTATCCGGGCCGAGGAGGCACCACGGAAAGGAAATTGGTCCCGGGGGCGTCGGAAGACCTGCCTCTAGTCCTACGTTCTCCTTCATGGGCCGAGGCGTCCTGAGCAAACTGAAGTTGTAAAATCACTACTCTATCTGGACCCCCTTTCCTCCATGAAGTTTCAGCAGAAAGAAAGCGTTTCTAAGGGTAAAGACAAACCGCTTCTTGCTGACGACCATAAGATACCGTTGTAAAAAAAAATCATTTCAGTAATGTTTATGGTCTGATTCAGGCACCGAGAATAGGACCCTCTAGTCAGCAGTAAGCGCATACCCATTTGTGAATGTCTCAAGTTCAAGTCTAACTTTAGAACCAATTGAATAAGAATAGAATCTTTAGAGCAAAATGTGCTTCCCCAGTTTCGAGGCGAGTCTGCCGGGGCACATCTGAAGTATCTATGTCACAAACAGTGCAGGTGTCACTGGTATCAGGCGACCTAAATTGCTCCAAAGCAAACATTCTTGTAACAGTTACTGACAAGGATATATCGTGCATGTTCTGGTTTGCACAGACCTCCTCTTGGCTTAGTGGGTGAGTCTTTTTATTGATTTTGTTTTTATTTTTTCTTTTTGGTTCATTAATGTAGAGCGGGATTATTAACCAAGGGCTCAGAAAGCTCATACATGTGGATGGGAAAAAATACATCTTTGTCGTCTCCGACTTCTAACTGAAATTGATGTTTAACATTTCACTGGACTGTGGACAGAGCCATAAATCTAACACTGTGTCAGCCGTGCTGGCGACTTGGTCACCACCAAGTGGCTGCAAAATCACAGCCACTTTGCAGTCCGTCACTGTTATAGCAGACACCATGCGGTAGCATTTGCACTCAAAACTGCCTGGAAAAGAGACACCCCCCCCCCAAGCCCACCCCTGCCAGACCTGGTTTTTAATGTGCCAGTAAAGGACAGGTGTATTTCAAATTTAAAAAATTTTTGATAATGGTAACTCAATACGATTTCTTTTCTTTGCCACCCTATGTCATTCGTACATTTTAAAACATGTTCCTGGGAAGGGTTCCACAGACTTCTTCACGGCGGTTCCTGGCCCCTTGCACACACGTGAACACACAGGTGCACACACAGCAGAGACCAGTGTCGACCCCGGTGCCTGCGATGCAAGGCTGCCATCGGAAAGCTCCCCCAGAGACCCCCATACTTGTTGCGAAGCCGGGGATGAGGGGACGGTTCTGCTCTGCTGCCCCCTGAAGTCCGGTGGCCCGCTGCCCCGGTCCTTTGGCTGGCTGCAGTCTCTGTCACTGCTACAGGGACAGAGCGACTGGGTCTGTGTCCCCGGCTCCTTGCACAGTGTCTGACCCAGAGTACATGGAAAGATAATCTGGAAGTAAACCCTCGCTGGAATCAGCACATAAGCAGCCACGCTGGGTGAGATGGGCACGGGGCTGGGGGTGTGCAAGACAGGGTAGGGGGAGAGGGAGTTTACGGGGACGTGGGACGGTCTTTTAAAAGAAATTCAAAACAGACTTCTGGAAGGTCGTTTCCTACGAGTCTTGCCGGCAGTGTGAAAACAACCATCCCGTGTGTGGCCACACCCGGCCTCACGTGGCCCTCGCTCCCCCCTGCAGGGCTGGCTCCCCAGTATATATGAAGGGGCAGGGCCACCCAGCCAGGAGCCCCAGCGAGCAGGAGGGCTTTCTGGAGCAAGCCTCGCCCAGCCTCTGCACCAAGGACTCCGTGCACAGCACGGCAGCCCCGGGCCCAGGATGCCAGCTGTCCGGCCGCTGCTTCTGGCCTGCCTGCTATGGGGCGTGGGGGCCAGGGCAGCCGAGCTCCGGAAGGCCAACGACCGGAGTGGCCGGTGCCATTACACCTTCAGCGTGGCCAGCCCCAGTGAGTCCAGCTGCCCCGAGCAGGGCCAGGCCATGTCAGCCATCCAGGACCTGCAGAGGGACAGCAGCACCCAGCGCGCCGACCTGGAGAGCACCAAGGCCAGGCTCAGCTCCCTGGAGGGCCTCCTGCACCGGCTGAGCTCGGCCCAGGCGGCCGGGCCCTCGGAGACCCTGGAGGGGCCGCACAGGGAGCTGGCCACCCTGAGGCAGGAGCGGGAGCAGCTGGAAACCCAAACCAGGGAGCTGGAGGCAGCCCACAGCAACCTCCTCCGAGACAAGGCGGTGCTGGAGGAAGAGAGGAGGCGGCTGGGGGCGGAGAACGAGGACCTGGCCCGGAGGCTGGAAAGCAGCAGCCAGGAGATAGAAAGGCTGAGGAGGGGCCAGTGCCCCCAAGCCCGGGGCGCCCCTCAGGAAGTGCCACCGGGCGCCAGGGAAGGTAAGAGGGGGACATCAGTCAGGGTGGCCTGCTACAGGTGGTCCAGGCCTGCCCTCTCCTTCCCATTCCCAGTGAGTTAACCCCCGATGGTTCCGTGTAGGTGAGAGCTCCAAGTTTTGCGCCTGCCCGTGACAGAGTTTGCGTAGCCCGCGGCAGCGGCAGCGGCAGCATGAAACCTGGAAGGTGCACCTGTCCCCGCGTGACCAGTAGAAAGTGCCCGCTGTCCTTTTTAGAAAGCTGTCCTTTTGTGAACCTTTGTTCAGGGAGGCCGATTCCTACCTTTTGGGGTGAACGTGACCTCTCTTCATGAAACGGCAAGAAGTGTATGAAATGATGCCAGGTAGTGTTTTTAAAAACTTTTAAATGCCCTTCCTTGGCAAAATAAAGAGGCGGTAACACTTTGTCACTTGTCTCGGTCTGCCGTTTGGAAGCTTTCCCCCACTTTGTCCAATTGAGGACCTCTGCGTGGGAGTCGCCAGGCCACCCCTCCAGGCGGCTTTTGTTGCCCGACCCCTGCAGGTGGGGTGTCTGTGAGTGTGTGCTGGGCCGGGACAGGGGGTACACCCTCCCCAGTAGTGGGGAAGACAGCACTTGTGTCACTGCTTGTGAAACTGTGTCCCCCAGTGCTCAGTGTTGAGTCCATTGTCCGATCAGGAGGGAACGAGCAAGCCAATCCGGCTGTGGGACCGTCGGTGTGGACTCTTCAAAGATGCTGGTGTCAGGAGTGAAAGGGAAGGGGAGGGGTCGGGGCTCACTCAGAAGGGAGGGGCCTGGAGAGCAAATTCAGGAGGACCCCAGACAGGCTCCTGCACCCCGGGGAAAAGAGGTGCAAGGGGCAGGTGTGGGATTGCTGAGGGAATTTGCACGTGGACTGCTTGGGCGATCGTGTCCCTGGATCGGTGTCAGGTGTTCTGGGGGAGACATGGTATCGAGCTTAGGGGGTGTCGGGAGGTCTGCAATTTCCTGTGCAGTGGTCCAGCACAGAGTGCAGGCAGACAGAGTGGGAGGAAGAAAGGTAAAGCATTTGAGGCAAAACAGTAACCATCACTGTGAGGGAACCGTAACTGTAATATTCCTTCAACTTTTCGAGAGGTGCGAATGTCTTCAAAATAAAACAGTGGAAAAACATCTCCTAAAAAGCCTTTCTAGACGTGATAGACAAGCTCAGCACAGGAGAAGCCGAGCATCAGTGCCTGGGTGTGACCTGGGATAAGCCGTTCAGCCACTGCCCCCTGGTTTCCTCCCCGCAGCACGGCACTGGAAATTCCTACTGCGAATAACAATTTTTATGGGGCTCAAATAAAATAACTCTGAGTTGTAAAGCACTTCTGAAACCCTTTATCCTCAGAGCTGGGAGAGACCCAGCTTTAGATTTTACAACTCAAGGCGAGTGAGGTGTGAACGCATCGAGGGAGGGGCCCAGGGCGCAGAGGTGCCCGGGGCAGAGCTGAGGTTGGGTGGACTGCAGTTTTGAGGACAGCGAAGGAAGGAACCGTTATTAATAGGAGTGCCACGAGGCAGCGCTTATTTCGGACAGTTAACCCAAGGAAGCTGCACTCCCAGCACCCGTGTGTGTGTGTGTGTGTGTGTGTGTGTGTGTGTGTGAACAGAAGTGACATTTTGTCTGTTTTATTATGTACGGTCATTTAACAAGTGTCGGGGAACTTACGGGATGCAATCTCTGATTTTATAGTTCTTTCCGTCTCTCTGGCTGCTCTGCTGTCGGAATAAGAACAACAGCCCGTGACAATGAACTCCAGCCTTGGGGGTTCTTTTCTAGCAGCAGGCTTTTCCTGGGCAGCAGATCCCATTAGCCCGGGCGAGTGAGCTGGAAGGCGACTGAGTCCGAGCGGTTACTCAGCGGGTCTCTGGTCACCCAGCTCGCTGGTGGCAGAGTCAGGCCTAGAATTAGACCCCTCCACCCGAGTGAGGGTCAGGGATCCTTCAGGACCCTGAGGGGACCTCTGGATTATAGAAGAACATTAAAGGTAAAAAGACAGAAAAGCTACACTGAAACATCAGGGGAAGGAATGCTTCGATCAGAAGATCTGCTTCAAGGCCTCGGATCTTGGGGGGAGTGAGTTCTGGGCAGCTGGATTGAAGCGTGGGTGTGCTTTAGGCAGGAGTGGCTGTACCCAAGGGGACATTCATTAGAGTTGATACCTATTGGCCGAGGGTCATCCCATTGGTTATCCCTATTGGCCGAGGGTCATCCCATTGGTTATCCCTGTTGGCTCAGGGTCATCCCATTGGCTATTCCTGTTGGCTGAGAGTCATCCCATTGGCTATTCCTGTTGGCTGAGGGCCATCCCATTGGCTATTCCTGTTGGCTGAGGGCCATCCCACTGGCTATTCCTGTTGGCTGAGGGTCATCCTATTGGCTATTCCTGTTGGCTGAGGGTCATCCCATTGGCTACATAGCACTCACATTCATGATACACAGATAAGGGCACCAGGCTGGTGCTTGGAGGCCATCAGAGAAGCTGGGGCCAGCTCCCAGCAGGTGACACCTGCTCCAGGCAGGTTGCCACAGGAACAGCTGGGAAAAGGTGGCAGAATATGCAGCGGGGACACCACAGGTCTTCACTACCACTGTAGATTTCACTTCCTCGCCTCCAGGATGGGGCTGACAGTCCCTGCTGGGCTCATCACACAGGTCAGCAGTCGAGTGGGTGGTAGAAGGAGCCTCCAGCGTGGAGTGGCCTCCCAGGAAACGGGCTGCAGCTACAAAGGCCTGCTCTTGCTTGAGCTCCACCGTTGTTGGAAAATGCCGTGTAAAAACGATCAGAACGTCAGTGTGGACACGACAGTTCTATGACACACCCTTATTCCAGGGAGCGTGGGTGTGGAGCGGCACCCAGGCCAGCCGCCTGCTAGTTCAGCCGCACGGCCCTGGAGAACCGGGACGGCCCGCACGCGTGGGGGACCCTCCCTGCCCGCCGTCCTTTCCACGCCTGCCAGCCTGGCCGAACCCTTCGGGCAGCGAGAGAAAAGGACTATAAAAATCATTTCAGTATCCCTTGCCTCTACACGGCATTTTTATACAAGCAAGTTAACAAATTCCACTTCTGGGTCAAGCTGTCTGGACGGCGTCTCTAAAGCAGAGGTGAGGGACATAGGGAAGAATACGCAGATTTTCAGAATTTCATAATAGATGTGGATTTTAATAGAAACAAAGCCCTGAAAATGTTTAGCCATTTTATACAAGATAGTTCTTAACATTTTCATAAGCTCTTCCCCCCCCCCATTCAGAATGAGATATGATTTTGAAACATTCCTGGGAAATTTTTGTTTTGACTCATCCTTATTGAGGGCCATTTTATTTATATTTTGAGCTAAAAATACCGAGGCTCAGAGAGGTTGAGTAACTTGTCCAAAGTCACACAGCAAGCACAGGGCAGGACTGAGCTAGGAAGCTACGACTTGTGGCCCAGTCCAGGCCCCTTTACGCACTGTGAGTCATTCCCTGCCTTCGGGCTTGTGGACCTTCAGGCCTTCTCCCCACGGGCTCAGACCTCACCCGGACAGCTCTCCCCGGGAGCCTGGCCACTGCCCAGTGCTCTGGGTCCCAGAGGAAGCCATCGAGTTACTATCCAGCCACCCACCTGCCAACGGAGACCTGGCCTTGCAGCCATCCGGGGAGCCATTCCCTGACGTCACGCTTCATTGTGCTTCTTGTTTGCTCCACAGCACGGGAGGCGTGGTTCCTGCAAAGTGCGGTGGAAACAGGGAGGACAGAGAGAGAGAGGGAGAGATAGAGATGGAGAGCAGCGTCCTCGAGGCTCTTGTAAAGCCTTGGTAACAATCTGGGTCCACAGAGCAGGGTCAGTAGGGACATTCAATAGAAAGAACCATTTACAACGATAAAAGAGTAACCAAGGATGTAAGTAGACTCTACATGCACCCTCAGGCTGAGGAAGGACAGACTTGCAGGGGCTGGCGCCTCAGTAGGAAGGTGGGGTTCAGCCCATCAGGTAGTAGGGCAGGTGGCTGGAGCTGGTCCGGAGCTGCAAAGGCCACCTCCCCAGTGCAGGGGGAGTGACTGGCAGCCTGTATCCGGGGGCCCAGTGGTGTCAGAGACAGGCTTCGGGAGCCCTGCAGAGCCCCAAAGGGTCCCTGGCAGGGACTCTGCCCCCACCCACCCACCGCTGTGGAAAGGTTATAGCCAGGTCAAGGCTTCTAGAGATCCACCCGATGATCTCACACCCAGGCTGCCCACCCAGCGCCAGCCCCTCCCCCACGCGGGAGACTGCAAACCTCCGCCTCCCACAACGTCCCTGCAGCGCCCTCTACTGAGAGAGCTTAGCCTGAGCTCACCGCATGGGGGCCCGGCCGGCGAGTCACTTGGATCCCTCCCCGCTGGCAGCCAGGTCACTCAAAAGGGGCAGAGACGGTCCGCAAGAGGAAAGGCGGTGCTTTAATCACGTCTTTCGATTCTGATGCTCTGAGGCAGCGGCCCTCACCTGGGACCACACCTCTCAGATGCAAACTGACCTGTCCAGACCACACCCCCCACCCTCCTCTCTCAGATCCTCACTCAGGCTGGTGATGCCCCTGCCCCATCCCTCCAGGCCCCCAGAGCCCGCTGAAATTATCCACGCTGGCCAATAGAAAACCTGCGACCCTGCCTCACTGGTCCCCATGGAAACCACAACAAGGGCTCTTGCCCAGGGGCCCCTGGTACCTTCCCCCACCCCACGTGGCCCCCTGCGGTGTGAGACCCCTCCTCTCAGGATGGGCTTCTGACCTGCTGGCCTCACCACACCTGAATCACAGACCTACATTGGAAAGCGGCGAGGGCTGCCCCTTGTGGCTGCTGCTTTTTCCTTGTGCTCAAGGGTCCTTGAGGACCACAGCCCTGTACCAAACGAGTGTGGTGGCAACATCCAGCCAGTGTCCTCAAACCTCTTCCCTTCTCTGTGGCTCTAACCCTCCCCTAAGCTCCTGTAGGAGCCCTGCCCTCTGTTCCTTGTGCAAAGCTCCTCTCAGAAAGAGATCCAACAGAATGTTTCAGCTGAGCACGGAAAGTTTGATACACCACCCCTTAGAGGAAGGTTTGCTTTGTGGCAAAGCGGGGGAAAAGCCCAAAGTCATGCAGGGAACTCCTCACCATGGAATTCCAGGCACCCCAGCAGACACCAGAGCCTTCCCAATAACCCGAATCACAGGCACCTACGCAGAAATCAGACCTCCTAGTGGGAGTTAGTAGGATGGTGCACAAGCTGCCTTCCGTTATTCTGAATACCCTCTTTTCTGCTTGGAGCATTGCTATGCAATTTATAGTTTGTGAGCTTTTTATTATGGAATTTATCCAACACTCGCAAAAGTGGAGAGACCGGTGGGAACCCCAACAAACCCATCTCCTGGCTCTGACAGTTGTTAGCAAAGTCCGATCTTGTTTTTATCTCACTGCCCTCCTACCACCATTTACTATCTTCAAATAAATCCCCAGCATGATCTTTTAAAAAATATTTTTAAATTTATTTTTAGAGAGAGGGTGAGGGAGGAAGAGAGAGGGAGAGAAACATTAATGTGTGGTTGCCTCTGGTGCTGCCCCCTACTGGGGACCTGGCCCACAACCCAGGCCTGTGCCCTGACTAGGAATCGAACCAGCAACCCTTTGGTTCGCAGGCTAACATTCAATCCACTGAGCCACACCAGCCAGGGCTCAAACATTATCACATCTTTGGAAGCCTGTTTAAATGCCATCCTCAACCCAGTCAATGCACCATTCTTACTCATGGTACAACACCATCTCTTTCTTTTCACATAGTTTCTAGGTGGAATTTGGAGAACCTGGACTTCCAGGAACTGAAGTCAGAGCTCACTGAGGTGTCTGCTCCCCGGATCTTGAAGGAGAGCCCACCAGGACATCCCGGGAGTGAAGAGGGGGACATGGGTATGGAGTTAAATGTGTTCTCTTTTGTCCCCACGTGGTCTCTACCTGCGTCTGGTCCTCTGTCTGCTCCCTCACCAGGGCACGCCAGCTGGAAGTCAGCCCTTCCCCAGCAAAGCCCTGTGTCTTGTCGCCTGCCCTTGGGACAGCGGGCTGGGCCGGGCTGCATGGGGGACAAGGAGGGGTGTTTCTGTTTCACCCACACAGCTGTTCCACTGACTTGATTACCCCCGAACAATGACATGTGTCAGTGGGCCCTTCCTGTCTGTATCAGAGGGCCAGCCGGACACCATCACCGTCTGAGCACACAGGTCGTGCTACTAAAGGCTTCTTTCCTGAACCCTGGGTGCTCAGAGAAAACACTCCGAGGTGTCCCCTGAGACCCCGATGTCAGGACACAGACTGGTTTTCAGAAACCGTGGCTCCACGTCATTGACAATTATTGCCAGCCCTGAAAGGCACGCATGGGGTCAGGGCGTTGGAAATAGGCAAAATATGCTTCCCCGAGATAGGAGCGCCTCCTTGAGGACGTTTCCACCTCCTACAAGGGAATGGAGGGTTCCCGTTAAAGTGCAAAAACCTCTTCATCATATTTTTAAAATCATATTCAGATTTTATTGTATTAAAATGATGCCTGAAATATATGGCCCATCAGTTACAGCTTGCAAAAATTCTGTTGTTGTATAGAGATGACGATCACGACTTGATTTTTGTCTCGTGTTTTTAAAAAATGCGGTCAGTTACACACAAAAGAAGAATGAAGTGAGTACACAGGAGACCCTGGCCAGGGTAAGTCCGACGTGACAAATCGAGTGTGAAGTCCTCTTGGTGGCCTTCCGTCAAGCTTCGGTCCTGGTCACGTATGATCACAAACGTTTACTGGCCATTTAGTCCAACTGAGCACCCGACATGTTTAAAATCACACTGAAACTAACAATGGCCCTACTCCCCCAAACACTGTTATTACCCCCTTTCCAAATGAGAAAACCGAGGCTTACAGAGCCAAGGAGCCCATGGAAGGTCACACCGCCAGCAGGTGGCAGAGCCTGGATTTAAACCCAGTCTGTCTCTGGGCTCTTGGCTTCTGTGGAGCCCACATCGCGGAGGGACAGTGAATCAGTGTTTTGTTTTTGTTTTGTTTTCAATTCACCAGGATGCGGAGAACTGGTCTGGGTGGGCGAGCCGGTCACTCTGAGAACAGCCGAAACCATCACGGGCAAGTACGGTGTGTGGATGAGAGACCCCAAGCCCGTGTACCCCCACACGCGGGAGACCACGTGGCGCATCGACACGGTGGGCACGGGCGTCCGCCAGGTGTTGGAGTACAGCCTGGCCAGCCAGTTCGCGCAGGGCTACCCTTCCAAGGTGCACGTGCTGCCCAGGCCGCTGGAAAGCACCGGCGCAGTGGTCTACGCCGGGAGCCTCTACTTCCAGGGGGCGGAGTCCAGGGCGGTGGTCCGGTACGAGCTGAGCACCCAGACGGTCAAGGCGGAGAAGGACATCCCTGGGGCCGGCTACCACGGGCAGTTCCCATACGCCTGGGGCGGCTACACCGACATTGACCTGGCGGTGGACGAGTCGGGCCTCTGGGTCATCTACAGCACGGAGGCGGCCAAAGGGGCCATCGTCCTCTCCAAGCTGAACCCCGAGAGCCTGGAACGGGAACAGACCTGGGAGACGAACATCCGGAAGCAGTCGGTCGCCAACGCCTTCGTCATCTGCGGCACCTTGTACACCGTCAGCAGCTATTCTTCGCCTGACGCCACCGTCAACTTTGCGTTCGACACGGGCACGGGCAGCAGCAAGGCCCTGGCCGTGCCGTTCAAGAACCGCTACAAGTACAACAGCATGATCGACTACAACCCCCTGGAGAAGAAGCTCTTCGCCTGGGACAACTTCAACATGGTCACCTACGACACCAGGCTCTCCAAGATGTGAACCGCCGCCGCCTGGCTGCATCAGGAACGGCAGGAGCAGGGGGTGGGGGGGTGGGGGGGTGGGGGTGGGGGGGGTGGGGGTTAGGCCAGCCGAAGCCCAGGCAACTTCCCTCTCCTCTGCTTTGCACGAGCTCTCGTTAATCCAGGAGCAGGTGTCTGACGCTGCAGGGACAGCGCTCTGGGCACGCAGAGTTTCACAACAGCTAGGCTTGCCCTCTGCCAGCTTTTAAAGGGCTATTTAGCTAAAATAGTGTTAAGTTTCCGGGTGATCTTGGGCACAAGCTATAACGCGTAGCTGTTTCTTCATGGAAACCACAAGGCTTTTTATGAACGGCCTTCGCTGGCTAAGGAGGATGCTTGGAGGAGGGTTTAGGGAAAGGGGCTGGACTCCAGGTGAGGCTGGGCCACCGGCTGCGCTTGCGTGCTGCACAGTCAGCACCAGCTGCGGTGGGAAGCAGCCCGTGTGTGGGGAGGGGCGAGCTCTGGGCCAGTCCTGAGCTTCTGGAAGATGCACTGACAATAGTTGGCTTCTCGTGTGCTTCAGGGAGAGCCCAGGTGGGCACTCCATGACCTTTGCCTGTGCAATAAAGTGACCGTGCACACATTCTCCTGGGATATTGTGGGGTATTTTGCATAAGAGGAAAGTAGAGATTCCAGCCATCAGAAAACTTCTGCGGGCTGGGAACTGTGATGGCAGGATGGTCAAGGTGTGTGATGCGTGTGCACCTGTGCGACAAGGGCGGTGCCCGGGGTGGCACCTGGCCAGCAGTGGAATGCACGCCTTCCCAGCCACGTCTCCAGGTGCTCTTGGTCCTTCCTGACCCGCCTTTTCATCCTTCCTCAACTCAGGGCATCATTGTTTTAATAATTACACTGAGTTTGTATCTTGAGGTGCCGTCATACCTAGCGGTCAGAACATTTTCTTGTGGCCAGTTCAGTTTAGACTTGTGACCATTAGCCTTTTTGGCTCATTCAGGGTTTTCCTCTGCCCTGGCTGAGAGAAGGGCCGGGCCCGTCCATGCCCGAAAACCCTCGGGGGCTCCCCATCCCATCCCAAGTCAAAGGCAGAGTCCCCCCTTGGTGGCTCCGTCTCTCCTAATGTCCCCAGAGTCCTTCCACCCCGGCCAAGGCCCATGGCCCCCTGGCCGTCCTCTGAACAGCCAGGCCCACTTTAGTCTCCAGGGCTTTGCGCTGCCTCCCCGCTCTGTCCCTGAAGTCTTCGCGCCCAGTGCCCTCATTTTCAAGTCCTCACTCAGACCCTGCCACGGAGCTGTAGCCAGGCCACCCTCCCTATGAAAACTGCCACGTCCGATCTTCCTCACCCTGTCTTATTATTTTAGAACTTCTTTTCCACGAATCCTCTCCTGACACAGGATACAGTGTGTGTGTGTGTGTGTGTGTGTGTGTGTGTGTGTGTGTGTGTGTGTGTTTCATTCAAATACCACTGACTGCCCTACGTGCCCTACTGCAGGACGGCAATGAAAGATAAACACATCCACACAGCAGAGACTTGGCTGGAAGAACCAGAAACAGTGCATTTGTGGATAACAACAGGCAACAGTGAGTGAGGAGGGGAAGACAGGAAGGAAAGGTCTTCTGAGACAGTCTTCAAAGACAGCCTGAGGACGTCCCGGAAACTGTGTTCTGGAGTTCTGTGTCACAGCGCATCTCCGAATGACTGACGCTCTGTGGCTCTGTGTGCCTAGGAGACGTGGGGGTCCTCAGCTGGAGAGGGAGGCGGGGCTGGGGGGACTGGGGGGTCGGCCATGCCCCAGGGAGGGACTTGATCCAGATCTGGATCGAAGAGCTTCGCCCGGGTTTCCTCGGGTTTCCTGGTGAACGTCTCTTCCCTGGGAGGAAAGGCACGAGGAGGGCAGGTTTTTAAAAAGAGAAAAAGACCCCCTCAGACCCCATCCAGAGAGAAAGAGAGCCACTTCCTCCCCCGCCTGCGTGCAGATGCGGACACAGGGTCGCTGGGCGGAGTGAGCTGTGTGCTGTGCTTTAACTGTGAGTCGGCCCTTCCCGCACTGGCCCCTGGAACCCACGGCCCGGGGTCCACCCTACCCCCCAGGGCTCCTAGGTCAGGCCAGGGCAGGCTCGCGCTCGGGGTTCCCCTGGCCTCCCAGCTTTTCTCCGCCAGTTTAGCCCCGGGCACCCAGCACCTCTCCTCTCTGCCCAGCTGACCCCCACTCCCCCCTCCCGCCCTGGCTTCTTTCTAAGGGCCTCAGGGGCACAGCCCTGGGCACCAGGCATGCCACAGGGAAGGAGACAGCGTCCCTGCCTGCAGCGAGCTCCCAGCCTCTTGGGAATGAGGGCAAGTTTCAGGGGATCCATGCCATCCCCAAACTTTGCAAAGTCATGCCTTTTTATACTAAGAGGGAACTTCACAACTTCCACCTGATTATCAAAGTGGTCCCCCCCAATTAAAGAGCCACGGATCTGAAATTCATCCCAGCACCCCTATTTTCACTTCTCGAAGGACCACGTGGAAAAGGTCTGTTTCCCACGGTGGCTGACCAGACAGTGTCTCATTCACAAAGGCAGCCTCCTCCTTTCAGCCACGGGCACATTTGAATACATTTGAATACATTTACATAATCCAGTGTCTCCTGCAGCTTCAGGCACCACCCACCCACCTAGCTTGGAGTACCTGGAGGCCATGGTGAACCTGCGCCTGGTCACCTCGGAGGCCAGGTCGCTGTAGGGGAGCTTCAGTCCATTGAGCTCAAGTCTCCTCTCAGCCATGGCCTTGGGCCCAGAGGAACTGAGATTCAGTCCACCTGCGGGTCTAAACCACAAGCGTCAGCAACACAGGTGTCAGCGGCAGAGGAAAGTGGAGGCGGTCACTGTGCCTGGGTCCTTCCTGTAGCCTGCGCCCAGCCCCAGGCCTGTCCAGGGCCAGGCTTCCTCCGACACCTGCCTTGGGCAGGAGGGAGGCCCTCCCGCCCCTGAGGTAGGACAGGCATTCTTCCCCAGTCATGCAGTGTGGGAGCTCAGGGTGCCTACCGCTCCCCCAGGTCACAGCTGGGGCGATGGAGGCCGGGAGAGGTGAACTGACTCCCCTGGAACCCAGGCCACTGCCACGGTTCCCCTAGCTCCCAGGCCCGGGGGGGGGCACCCCTGGCCCCTGCCAAGCTTTGTACCCAGAGCACTAAGGGGGCTGGGGAATACGGGGGCTTGGGGATACGGGGGCTCGGGGCCAGGCTGCGTGCTCAGATGTGCACCGAGTGAGGCTCAACGTTGATACCAGAAATCCCATCGGCCCCCCATGCAGTGCCAGCCGCTGAGGGGTGTCCTTACGTGACGACCACAGTAACTCTGCAAGGTCCCCACCAACGAAGGGGGAGACTGGGCAGCAGGGAAGCTCAGGAGCCCCCCCAGGGCCATGGAGCTAGGTTCCGCCTGTGGACGGTGCCCTCCCCGCGGCAGGACCGACCCGCCCTCACCGCCTGCCTCGGTGCCAGGGCATGGCCCAGGGCCTGGAGACGGGTCCCCACTCCTGGCCACCTCCTGGTCTCGCCCGTGCGGCAGCAGAGCTGTCCTTGGAGCAGGGATGGCATCGGCCTCCGCTGGAGAAGTGTGCTCTTCAGAGGAAGCCGACCGACGTACCTTTTGATTCCCGACGGGCTCATCTGCAGCCCCTTCCGCACCTCCGCGCACGGTCTCGCGAAGAAATGCCCTTCGGCAAGCCCTGTCCCCGCATTTCAGAGACTGCCCCTCCTTAGGGAAAGAAGAGGCCAAACCCCACCCCTCACTGCCTGCGGCTCAGGCTTTTATCCTCCTGGAGGCCGTCTCTCTCAGGAGCTAGAGTTAATGGCCTTCACTGGCGTCCTCAGAAGGTGGCAGCTGATGGGAATTATCCCTGCAGCGTGGCCCTTGATGGGAAATCCCCGCAGATGTGGCAGGTGATGCTGGGTCCAGAGTGCGGCACCAGCGAGGGGCGATGTGCCCCCCCGCCCCCGCCGGGCAAGGAGGGAGCCCCACTTCAGATGCTGGTGAACACTAGGCCTTGACCTCTATCCACGGACTGCCCTTCAGAGCGCTCGCAGGGATCCCCTCCTCCCAGCACCACCAGGCTCTTTGTGATTGACAGCGCGCCTTCTGAGCGCGCAGGTGTTTGGGCTTTGAGAGGAGCCGATTGGTGGCAGGCCTCCCCAGGTTGAGCGGAGTGGTCTTGGGCAAGTCATTTAACATCCACAGGCCTGTTTTTTCTTACACGTAAAGAGAGGAGTAGTATTCTCCTCCTAGGGCTGTGACGATTGAGAAAATACTTGCTAAAACCCCCAGTTTTACTCTTTTTGTTGTTGCATTTTTAAATGTTTTCTTTTTAAAAGGATTTTATTTATTTATTTTTAGAGGGGGAAAGGAGGGAGAAAGAGGGAGAGGAACATCAATGTGTGATTGCCCTTCACGTGGCCCCCACCGGGGACGGGGTTGGGGGACTTGGCCCACAACCCAGACGTGTCCTGACTGGGAATCGAACCTGTGACCTTTTGGTCTGCAGGTTATCACTCAGTCCACTGAGCCACACCAGCCAGAGCTAAACAATTGCATATGTGCATTTAGTCCAGGGAGGAATGTGAAAAAAAAATATATATATATATATACACATGCACATGTGTATCCAGCTATTACCACTCACACAGCACCATGAATATAGCATAAGTCTTTTCCTCACAAACCCAAATCTGTACTTTTTGAAAGCAGGCTCCCAATGTTGTCCTCCCTGCCCCCGACCCCCACCCCCAGGGCTGGGAGGAGTCGAGCTCCGGGTGGGAGCCCACCAATGATGTAAGGGGCATCAGAACGTGTGGGGCACCGTCCCCCACCTGTTTCCTTGAGCCAGAGCAGTGCAGGGTCTCCCGTTGGGAAGGGTTGGCAAAGTACAAACAGACTTCCGTGTCACGTGTCCCGTTGCATGCTGGCGTCAGGAGGGACGCGGTGGCCGTCCTGGGGTCCGGCAATGGTCTGCTTTGGGCTTGCTGCTGTGTTGTTCCGCCGGCTTTGGAGCACAAAGTCTGGGCGTTGGGTGGGAACGCCGGGGGAAGTCGGCTCCCGTCCAGACCCCTCTGAGGTGACGGCCAGCACGCAGTCCCGGGAACACCGTGGCTCCCCCGCCAGCCACCCTCGAGGACGGATGCTCCCCTCTCTACGCACGTCCCCGAGCCCCGGTGTCCCAGCGAGAAGCCCGTGTGTCAGACCTGTAGGGGCGGGACAGCAGGGGGCGGTCTGAGTCTCTACGTGGCCCTGAAGCCCCACCGGGGAGAGCTGCTACGCTGAGGTCACACGTGAGTGACAGGGCTGGGATTCAAAGCGTGTCCGTCAGTTTGACGACGACATTTTCCCACTCACCAAGGACGGGGAGGTGGAAGTGACACGAAGACGCGTGTTCGTTCCAGGCGAGAGAAACAGACAGCCCCTCGATGTCACTGTTACATTGAAAACGGGGCCTTGGACACTTGTCCGCGAAGGGGCTCTCGGTTGCGTGGGAGGTAGACGGAGGATATCTGAAGTGACAGGGCTCCTGTGAGGACAGGTGTGGCAAAAAGGACAGGGAGCCTCTTGGGAGAACAGGGTAGGTGACCCTACTGGGCCTCACGGGAAGACTGGAACCCAGGAGCCAAAGGCACCCGTAGGGACTGTGGGCCTCGCCACACCTACGCCAGCCCAAGTTTGGGGCTCTCATGCTCTGCTGTGGGTGGGAGGCAGCCCGGATCTCTGCGGGTTTATAAGCCAGGTGTTCTCACAGACCCCCCACACGGCTGAGGTAACAGGGTACTTGGTGCTGGCCCGGGACGAGGAGGCCCTCGAGGGCATTCTCAGCTCCCTGAGCCACGCGCTTGGCTGCATGCCAAACCTGAGTCCCATGCCCCTCTCCACCTGCTGCCCCCGCCCGCCCCCCCACGTGGCTGTGTGTGAAAACCACAAGACTTGATGACCAGTCGCACTTTAGATGCAGGAGTGCACTCAGCTCCACTCTTGAAGTCCCACCCAGAAGCTGGCCACTCCTCCCCCCCTTCACTGCCAGCGCCCCCCTCCACAGGTCCCGGGCATCTCTGGCAGGAATCATCGAGAAACCTCCCAACTGGTGTGTTCTCAACCCTGTCCCTTCTCCAGTCTGTTTTTTTTTTTTTAAAGATTTTATTTATTTATTTTTAGAGAGGGAAGGGAGGGAGATAGAGAGAGAGAGCAACATCATTGTGCAGTTGCTGGGGGCCGTGGCCTGCAATCCAGGAATGTGCCCTGACTGGGAATCGAACCTGCGACACTTTGGTTCGCAGCCCGAGCTCAATCCACTGAGCTACACCAGCCAGGGCCAGTCTGTTCTTAACATATCACCAGAGCAACCCTCTAGCTATTGCGGGTCACGGCCCATTACTCCTCTGCGCCAAACTCGCTAATGGCTTCATGTTTCAGGGTAAAAGCCCGAACCCTCACCATGGCCTTCAAAGCCCACTCTGCTCCCTTCCCTCCCACCTGCTGTCCCTGACCACCCCTGACCTCAACCACCACTCCCTTCCCTTTATTCTGCTCCAGCCACTTGGCCGCCTTGCTGATCTCTGAGCCTCCAGGGACTCCCCTGCTTGGAATACTTTTGCCCCAAATGTCTCAAGAGCTTGTTTCCTGTCTTGCTCCAAGCCCTTCAGGCTGAGGCCCTGGTTTATCCGCTGCTAGGGGTGTGGATGGCCGGTCCTGCCCCAGACACCGTTTTCAGCTGGATAGCTGCTGCCTTAGCCAGGTTCACGGCCCCCGGCCCAGGTGGGACCACTGTGAAAGAACGAATGCCCAGCCCCCTTGCCTTGGCTTGGGGTGGCTCTGAAGGGCCATCCCTGCTCGAGCTGCCTGTGGGACTGACGGAGGTCTCCGCTGCAACTGCGTCACGGGAGAGAGGTTGGCGGCAGATGGCCGGGCAGAGAAGCCTGCTGCTGGTGGTGAGTGGAGCACGAATACCACCCCCCACCCCAACGCCGCCCCCAGCAAGCTGTTCTGGCTGGTTGGTACACTTTTCACTGACAGGGCGTTGGGATGGGATTCTGTTGAAAGGGAATAAACGGACAAATTGAGCACGTCAAGCCTTTGAGAGGTCAAGGGGAAGTCCTACTTTCAGGACAATGCCCCTTGCTGAGGGCCATTGGGGAGTTTGGCAAAGACAGTGAGAGACCGGGGCCCTTAAACACGTTCGAGGTGAAGACTGTTGAAGCAGACGTGTCTTAAAAAAAGGGCGTGGGCTTCTTCCAGACAGAAATGTCTACCTACAATCAGGCTTCTGAGGTGCCTATGCTCCTTGAACTTAGCGCTTTGATGGGCCACCAGTCCAGAAAAAGTCGAGGGCTTTTACTTCAGAATCCAAGTTCGCCCCACAACGGCAATGAATTTCTACCCATTGGACCCAAGACAGGCTGAAGACCAACAGCACTCCTGGCTTGAGATCGGATGCCATCATCGACTTGTGGGTATTTGAGGAAAACTACGGAGATGCTGCTTGGATCCCCAACGGCGGACTCGGCCCCACACCCGAGGGTGTGACGGAGACCAGCAGAGGGGGCTGAGCACCCGTTTCTCAGCGACAACGTAAAAGCAGCAACGTGCCAACGCGGCGACGGTCAGCACAGCATATAAAATGAAATTAAGGTGGTTTTCAGAGAGGTCGGCTGCGGTTCACTGGGGACCGTGGGTAGAAGGGACTGCTAAGGGTTGTGAAATGCGGAGAACTCCCAGGACCTATGAGACGTGGGGCGGCCAAGCTGTGACCTGGTGACCCGTTAGTTAGGTAAGGCATGCCTGACACGGGAGCTCTGCTTGTCCCCTCGACCTCTTCTTCGTCCGAGATACATCCTGCCTCTGGCCAAGAATGTACGTTGAGCTTTGCTTCCTGTAATGTGTATTGCGAAAACTAGTAAAAAGAAAAAAAAAAAAAAAGCCTTTTCAAACTGGCCTCTCCCCCATCCTCCAACTCTGCAGCCCGTCTTTCCTTCCACCACCAAGTGCCGTGTGTTTTCAGCTAAGGACAGAAACACGCCCTCCTCTTCCTCACCCGACAGTGTGAGGGGCAGAGAACGTGGGTTCACGTGAGCAAGCCCACTGCCCACTGCGGCACCTGACCCTGTCCCGCTGGGGAAGCCACGAGACTGGTGGGAGCAGAGGGCAGAGAAGTGGCATCCGAGTGTCCTGTCCACTGGGTAGGTGTTTGTCATTGTTTCCCGTTGCAGGCGCCAGCCAGAAAAGGGCCCGAGGCACCGGAGGGGTTTTGGGTGACTTCAACCAGCTGAGCAGAGACGCCCAGTGGCCTGCATATGAAGAGAACACTAAGCTGTGTACTCAGTTCCTCTGTAGGTCCCAAACGTTTAGGACTGAATATGAGAAACAGTGGCGACAGGGAAGACAGATACATGAAGGGGGGACCACAGCTCTCTGGAACAGGTCTGTGCCCCAACCGCACCCACCACGCCACCCTGGAGCGTGTGCTGAGAAGAGCCCCACACCGAGAGGCTTGGCGACCGCGGCAGCGCCCACTAGAAGGGGAGGCTGGTGCGGGTGGCAGAGCCGCAGGGGCCTCGAGTGAGGAAGGCACACGGACAGGCCTTCAGTAGCAGCGCCGGGTCTGGAAGCCGTGTGTTCCAGAAACTCTCAGCACTTCCTTCTGCAGGCTGAGTGAATGACGAACCCAGCCTCTCCCGTCTGCTTTTGCAGGTGAAGGGACTGTGTGCGTGTGAACGAGCGTGGCAAAAACACAGTCCACAGTACTGTGAAGTTTAGGTCCAATTCCGGCACAGAAAAATGATGCAACTCCTTGACACTCAGCACTGTGCATCATTCAGGCCCCCCGCCCCCACCTCCGCAACAGCCCCAACACAAATGCGGCCGCTCCAGGGGCAGGCCATGCCCCTGGCCCTCCACGACGGCTCTTACTGGGAGCTCATAGCTACTGGAAGTCAGAAACCAAGACTTTGCAGAACGCTGGTCACCGCTTGTGATGTGTGGCAGACCCCACCTCAGATTCTAGGAATGGATCAGAAGCTCCAAGGTTCATTATTTAGAGAATACTTTATTAGTTTCTGTAATCAAACCCATGTAGATTAAGACCTTACATATTTAATACAGTGCGTTACCCCTGTACAAATGGAAAAAATTATGTCGAACATTTCTAGACCAATATGGCTGTTAATTTCTGTACAATGCCAACCCAACACGGTACAACCGAGATAGTTTTTCCAAAGTTGACAGCACAGCTAAAGTTTCCAAAAATTCAAATTATATATATATGTATATATATTTATTTATATAAAAAGACCAATAGCAGTATGTTATGCATCGATAGCAGCAACAGCCTTTCCAGGTTCTGCAGTCATCTGAACAAATTAGAGACATCCAGCACACTCCGTTAAAAAAAAAAAAAAAAAGTAAAAAACAAATCCCCAGAAAACAGCAAAGTTCTGTTACTGTTGTGGTACCTGGCACCATTTTTTTATTAGCTTCTCCATCATCATCTGGAAAGAAAACATTCTGGAATAACATCATCAGAAACAGCTCCGATCAAGCACGGTCACGACCACGCACCGTAAGCAGGGACAACATGGTTTACACTCACAGAGGTATGATACAGGACTGTCCTACAGCTAGAATACTAGAGGGTACAATGACAAAGGCATTACTTGAGACTTGATTTTGTTTCCCCAGCAGAGGGCCCGGCCGGCAGGGTGGGATGCGGCGGCTCTGGTGAAGTGTGCACCTTCCCCGCCAGGATTTCATCGGTGGCATTGTTCTGGGTGCTCGCGGGTCTTCATGAGTATCAGCTAAAAACCGTTTTAAAAAGATCAAAACAAACCAAAACAAAACACCCCGCCACACCCCACAGATTCATACAAAGATGACCACGTAGAGGTGGGCAAGACTCGCCCTGACTAGTGTTCACCAAAGCTGCTGCGTCTGAGTGGGCGGAGCTCCACGGAGGTGAGAAGCCCAGCCGCACTTCAAAGCTTCGGGCCACAACCAAACACAGCACCATTCCAGCAGCAGCAGCAGCCGCCGCCAAACCCTGCCCCTCGGGGACGGTCAGGATGCTGGCGGCACCGTTTCACCACCGTTCACTCATCCAGGAAGAAGGAAAGGTTGGTTATGATACTTCGTGTTCAACTCAACCACCACGTTACAAGAACAGCAAGCCGCCAGAGTCAGACACAGGCTCCTCGGCACAGCCCCAGTCCTTATCCGCTCGTCACCCCCCGGGCCCACCAGTGCCCTGGCCGCTGCTCTGCCAGCTGGGCTCACCCCACCGACAGGGCCGGGCTCCTCCTTCCCTCTTACTTCTGGGCCCCACCTAACTGTGACGGTTAGTTCTGAAGGGTGCGCACTCCAGGACTGTGTGCGTGTGTCTGTGTGTAAATTCAGGCTGAGATGCAAAAACGGCAACCGACAGGGTGCGTGTTGTGTAGTGGGTGCGGCTCGTCTCAGGGTGAACGGCTCCTGTGTCCCCTCGTGCGCCTCCGAGCTCCGGACGGGACCCTGTCACAGACCTTTTACCCCTCTGGCTGCTGGCACTGCCGACTGCACCCTGCCTCCTCCCCTCGCCCCTCCCCCAGGCCCTGCAATAAACCACAGCCTTTTAAGATTTTGTTTCTTCGGTTTTGATGGCCTGAGGTTTGATGGGTCCAGTTCGAACAGGTTTGGTGGCCATGGTGGGTGCAGGGGGGGGCTTTTCTTCTACTTTCTCCTGACAGACGCCAGGGGTGTCGGCCAGCGTCTCGGGAGGCTTGCTTGCGTCGCCGTCCACCTTCGGGGCCTTGCCGCCTATCTGTTTGCTCTGCTGCTGTTCAGAGAAGAAGCGCTGCGTGGACTGGAGAACCTCTGCTCTCTGCTTTGCCTTAAAGAACGAGAAACAACAGCTGAAGACGCGGCAGCATCACCAAAGCCTGTCAATCACTCTCAGTTTGAATTCTTTCACCAATCACCAATCAGCTTCCCCCACGCTGGTTTGACCCAAACCAAAAGTACCTCATTGATCTTTTAATGGAAGGATTTCTTCCTATCACTGAAAACATTCCATGTGATTTTTAAAAAATATCAGAAAAGAATAGGACCGCCTCCCACCACTTTTTCAAAGTTTACCCTCTTATAATAAAATAATTAAATGGGAGTTGCTTTGGTTTGTATCTTGTCTGGAACAAACCTTATAAATAACAAATTCTATTTAGGGAGCCTGCTCGCAAACTTGAAACATACGGAACACTTAAAGCTGCTAGTTATCAACATGTGGTCTATGACAGAACGGAAAGGAAGCACTTATATTGCGGTATTACCAACACCTAGGACCAAAGGTCTTGTGGCTGAGTCCTCTTCCCACAGCTCTCTTCTGCAGGGGAAGAGCATCAGAAATTAGTAACTACACCCTCACTGGGTCGCTGAATTCTGAGCGCTCCTACCACACTGAGCTGGCAACAGAGCCACCTCGCTTTAATGACTGCATGCCCCAGGTCCATACATACTTACGTCCGTCTGTACATTACACCAATGTAACACGTTTCTACACCTGTACATAAAAAAGCCCCATACATTCTACGCATCCTCAGCACTGTCCAAAACGCTGAAGCCGTTCTCAAGAAATCTGTGCCCTTCTCCACCCCGTTATTAAGCTACAGTGCCATTTCCAACACGGGGATTTACGGAAAGTCAAGTGCCAACAGAACTGGAAACCACGGCCAAACGGTACCCAGAGAGGTCCACACAGACGCTGGCGCCTGTGCCTGTCACGCAGGCCACAGGCACCGGGAGTCCCCCCGAGGGGCAGTCTTCAGTCTGACCTCTCAGGGTCGGACGCGGGGCTGTCCGCCCGGAGGAACCTGTGGAGCCCGCCCGCCTGGCGTTCTGCGGGGCTATGATAAAAGGGCTCCCGCCCAGGGCCCAGCCGATGGCCGCCTGTCCCTGTCTGGAAGCAGCAAGCTCGTCCCTGTGCTAGTCCGACCCGACACAGAGCAATGGCGAAAACAGGCCCAACGACGGAGGCCTCTCGAGCCCCGTCTAAGTGAACACAAGGCAAGCGGGTCGGCCAGCTGCACAGGCAGCCGGTGAGGCTCCCGCCACAGAGACCGTCACGCACGGGCGCCTATGGGCGCCTGCCGCACCAGCACGCCTCCTGGGTTTTGTGCCTCTCATGGCAAAGGACCCCCGGGTGCTCGTCTGAATTCCTCACCTACAGCCACACTAACTGCCGTGGGACACGGCCATGCCAGGTGGCAGGCCACAAGGGGCGTGAACACAGTCTGAGAAGAACACGGGGCTTGGGTGGCTCAGACTGGGTGGCACGTCTCACCCACCAAAGTTCTCAGAGAACCACGATTTGTGTCGTAAGCTTGGGGAAGGGGTTGGGGGAGAAAAACAAAGAAAGAAAATGGGAAAGCCCACAAGAGTCCATATTACTTTTTTTTTGCTCTTTCAAAAAATGTAGCAGCTAAACTCAGATCTCCCTCAAATATTTATTTTATAAGCAATTCATTTGGCCACAAGTTTAAAATGTTAACTTGTTGGTTGACAACAGTTGCAAAAGAAAAAAAAAGAGGAAAAAAAAAAAAAAAGGAAAAAAGTGTGTGTGGGGGGAACGGAGAAAAAAAGTAAATAATAATAATAATAATAATAATAATAATAATGATAATAATAATAATAATGATGATAATAGAAAAAAAGGAGAATGCCTGCGAGTGGCCCACGGCCCAGCCTGCGGGACGGGAGTGCTGGGGGTGCGGGGCGGGCCCAGAGCGCCGCGGACGCGGCTCAGAGGGTCGCTCTGGCGGCCGCCAGCACTGTACTAACCTTCATGTCCTGTTCAGCCTTCAGCGCGGCCTGGGCCTGAGTGCCTCTGGCTCCCGCCAGCGATCCACAAGGACCCCTGGCCACATGGGGCACACGAGCATGGCTCATGAGGCCTGTGGTCAGCGGAGGAGGCATCTGACTGGCCAGTGCCATTGGCGGCCTCTGAACGGGCGCTGGGAAGGTGTTAGTATGTGGGGCTCTTACCAATGGAGGGACCAGGTTAGGCTGAGAGAGAATCTGAGTGAAAAAAACAAAACATACAACATTAAACTGTTAAAAAAATTTTTGCCAACTAGATCGGTTAGCTCACCCCAGAGTAAATCTGCACCAATTCCGCCAGGGAAGGGGGTGTACACACTGTGCCATCCTAGCACCCGGCCCAGGACGGACAGGCCCGCCTGGGCCCTCTAACGGGAGACGCGGGCAGGGAGGCTATTACTTAGGGTATCTTTTAAAAAAGATGTAATTGCAGAAAAGACATACACCTATACCAATCATAATCAGAAAATAAATAAAAAAAATGCTAATTTGACAAATACATGTTTTTTCACATACCGATTCTAGTTTGTGAGTGTTCTTATTAATTTGAGTTAGTCCTTTTATCTGATCAGCAAAGAGAAGTGAGGCCAACATTTTTTTATACATATATTAAAATACCTCTTGGAAAATTTACTTCACCTACACAGTTATCTTAAAAAAAAAAAACAAAACCAAAAACAAACAAGAAAACAAAAAAAAAAAAACACACCAAAATCTAACAAAAAACCCTGGAAAACCCTAAGCACTGGGACCCTTCTCTGAAAAACCCACCTCTTCAAAAGATAAAGGGAACAGAACACAAGTTACTAGAGCTGCATGGGGGGTCCTCTGCTTCCACTGTCTGCTCTAGAACTCCAGTCAGCTGTGTCCAGCTGCAAGGACAGAGCCTACGCTGAAACGCCAGACATCTGCTGTCGGGTAAGAAGCTCCCTCTCAGCGAACACCGTGTGCCTGAACTGGTCCTGACAGGGCCGGGCTATCAGCTCCGCAGAGTCGCCAGGTCAGCAAGCACTTGCACGAAACCACCCTCGTTTCTCACTCGCCTCTGCCCACCTGGGGTGCGAACTGTGCAGGAAATGGCTGGGTCATTCTCACAGTGGCGGGGGCTGACGGGAACTGCTTCTGATACACAATGCTGCTCATTTTGCTGGACTGGCTGTTCGGACTTGTGGAAGTGGCCCTTGGAAAGAAGTCGTCACTGGTCAGTATGGCAGTGCCGGGTAATGATGCTGTCAGATTCCTAGACAGTGCGCTTGGCAGACTCATAGATTTGGTCGTTGGTAAGATTTACCAAGACGAGTTACCAAACGTCACGGCGGTAGGGAGACACGGGAGGGGCAGAGGTGAGAAAGGACACTGGCTACATTTGCCCTGTATTTAAAAGTTTTTCTTGCAATACAGTACACCAAATACATTCTTAATAATTCAACAGCTTAACATTTCAGATAGAACTATCAGAACGTCTCGTGCTTACCACAGGACTGGCGGCACAGCACGCATCTAACAAACAAACGGTGCTCAGTTATTTGGGGGTTCCATAGCAAACACAAACGCCCGTTTTACCGGAAGGGACTAGAGGTGGGTGTGGTGCTCCTTCCGCTGATTGGAGGGGTGCCTGGTTTGATGTCAATGCCACTTCCGAAGGCCTTTAGTTCCATTTCAGACATCTGAGAAAGAGCACAAAATAAACCTAGCGTTTCTGCAATCCCGTAAGCTAACGTGCTGTGTTTAATATTCTATATATGAAAACTTAATCCAGGAAAGGACAAAGAACCTCAGTACCAAAATCCTGTAATTGGCTTTCAAATACCATAAAATTAACAAGGCCAAATTTGTGGCTGAAAAGTCTACGAGGCAGTGTAAACACAACTCTCCCACAAAACTGATGAATTCTTTGTTCTGAGGTCAGACGCAGGGGAGGCCAGACACATTTAAAGTGTGCTGGGGTCTGTGATCTCCCAGGGGCGGCAACACCATTGCACTCAGTTTTACAGACCACACGGCACCCACCTGCACCCCCCCTTCCCCCCATCACTCACTTTCCCTGCGGCTGCGATCATGCTGTGCTGAGCCCCCGCAGGGACCAGCCCCCGGAAGGGCTGGCTGGCTTGTGCAGGGCGCCCCAGGCTCTGGGCCTGGGCCTGGGGGGCGGTGTGCTGCAGGGGGGGCTGCAGAGCCTGAGGCAGAGCAATCAAAGGCTGCCCGGCAGACCCGAAGTTCGGCAGGGAGAGTTGGGGCGCTGGCAGAGGCACGGTGACCTGGGACAAAAGCAAACCGAAACTGGAGCGAGGGGCTTGTACAGAGCCGGTGCGCATGCGCCCCCTCGCCCACAGCACAACCCTTCACGTGCACCCACGACCCGAACCAGAAGACAGCAACCTAGTAATACGTCTCCCACATCAACCTGCTGCTTATTTAGTGACGGTCACCACTCCTTTACTAAGGGTGCAACAGCATAACAAATTGGCAGTGGAGAAACTATTTAACTGAAATAATCAGAACTGTCTTTGAAGTAATCTACAGTACATGCCAAATAACCACAGAATACAATAAAATCATGGGGATACATTGTAAGAAAGTAGTGACAACTTCCCAAGTACCAATTTATTTTGAGTATCAATAAAGTAATATATCTGAGTTGTCACTCCTGAAATAGCCACCAAAAATAGTTACGAGAAAATGACTTAGGGCTTGCCTCCTTCATCTTGCCCCCACTCACTTTTAAAGAGTAAACCCATTAATGATATTGCTAGGAGATAGCTTCAAAAAGTACACATTTTTCCCCACTGAAAACTATTATTACAATCATACACTTAAGAAATGTGCTTGCCACCCACCCTCTGCCGGCCACCCTATGTGTTACAGTCACCGGTGCGGTGGTCCTCAGTTTCCCTTCACTCCTGGCACGGACGGGTTAAAGCCCCCATCACGCTGACTTTGTAACTGCACACCCCTAATGACAACCTTCAAACGTTTATATTCGTGGGGTCCTTTGTCAGAATGAACAATCACATGGAAACCCGTTACAAAAACTAAAATAAAAAGCAGCACTGACGCAGGCGGGGGAGGGGAGATGGGTGTTGTGGGACTCCAGTGGCCCCCGTGGAAGGCCTAGGCTGTCTCGGAGAAAACTCCCACGCGTGTCCCCACCCTGGTTCTGCTGAATCGCCCACACGAGAGAAGAAATGGTAACAGTAGTAGTAACGAAAACGGAGGAAATTTACCATGCCACAGTTTACCTGCTGGAGAGCACTCGGCGACTGGGCAGTGTTGTAGAAGTTCGTCTGACCAGGCTGCTGGACTTGCCCAGAATAAAGATTTGAAGCCTGGGTGAGATTTGCTCTAGCCTAGAGAGCAGCAACAAGAAAAGAGCAGTAAGATCTTTAAGGTTATGGCTTCAAAGCGATCTTGTAAGAATTCAGTATTAGATAAACAAGAAGACCTTTGTTTTTCGTAGTATCTTTTCACATTTTCTTGAAAAACCGCCCCTAAGCCACCTGCTGCACGAGAACATGACGCCGCCGCCTGCCGCAGCCCCGCCGGGACTCACCTGAAGGAGGTGTGTGTCCATCAGCTGCGAGGCCCCCAGCCCCGACGCCTGGCCCAGCTGGTGTTCGTACAGGATGGGGATGGGCTGAGTGCTGGAGGTCTGCTGGAAGGCGAGGCCCGACTGCGCCTTGGCCAGCTCCTGGTGCTGGACTGCCGGGAAGTTGTGGATGGCAGTGCCGGAGAGGACCACGGACGGCTGGGACAAGCTGCTCTGCATGAAGGCCGGCTGAGATCTACACGGGCGTGGAAGCGGAAGGCTGTGTCAGAGGTCAGTTCTGTCTGCAATCTGGAAAGCTCGAGAGCGAGTGGCCCAAGTGCCAAGAGCTCTGGTGAGCATCAGAGGCAGAGAACACAGACCTCGTGTGAGGTGCTCGTTCTGAGGCTTGGAGCCCACTACACAAGGAGGTCCCATGTGCCTGGGACCCAAGTTCTGGAAAAAGGTTTCCTCTTCCTAGAAACCTTTTTCCTCCTCTTGAACAATGAGAATGATTCTCATTTCATGCATTCGTTAGCAAGCTCAGAGCCAAACCTATCCTTTCCTCTTTGGTACCGACACTGCCTGCAACTCAGCACCAGCAGCTGACTTTTACTGCCTGTGTCTCAGCACTTTCCCTCACGTGTTTCTCACAAGAGCCTCAACACCGCTATGGAGTGAAGCAGAGTACTGTTCGTGTCAGGATTATTCATGAAGTATCTTTTTTCTTAAAAATTTTTACTTATTTATTTTTTAGAGAGGGGAAGGGAGGGAGAAAGAGAGGGAGGTAAACATCAGTGTGTGGTTGTCTCTCACAATGGCCCCCCACTGCCTGGCCTGCAACCCAGGCGTGTGCCCTGACTGGGAATCGAACCAGCAACCTTTCGATTCGCAGGCCAGCACTCAACCGCTGAGCCACTCCACCAGCCAGGGCTTTTTTTTTAAATTGAGGTATAATCAGCATAATGATTTGGTATTAGTACACTGCAGAGCAACCAGCACGGCAAGTCAACACCTGTCAGCGCAGAGGCATATGTTTCTCAAACGCGAACTTCTAAGATCTACTCTCCTAGCGACTTTCAAGTGCACAGCACAGCATTATGATCGAGGGTCAAAACTCCCATTTAAACAATAAACCAGTCACAAGGCTGTAGTGTACACCAAGACAACAATTTGAAGACCAGTAAGGAAATTCAATGCTGAAATAACCCTCAGGAGAGAGACCTCCAATCTATACTTCATAAAATGCTAAGATAAAAAGTAAGTAACTGAAGTAGTGGTAAAGATAGTATCACCAGTTAACATTTGACTTTGTTAAAATGACGCGTGGCAGGACAAAAGCCACTACCCAGGAGTGTTGATCTCCACCCTGATTCTTGTACCAAGAACTGAGCTCTCGCTTAACTGTGAGGAGCAGTCCCACTGATACAGTCTTAACTTACATCGGCCCTTTGAAGGCAACCGAGAGGCTGATGGGCCCCCGGGGAAAATGAGTCTGACACCTCTGCTCTAGTGTCACGAGTAATCTTAACAACGTCTCCTCGTAATTTATGCTTCAAATATAAATGGGAAAACACAAACACATTGTAAAACTGTGCTGGGCGAAATTAATTCAGGGATTCCCTGTTAATAAACACAAATGACGCAGGCCAAGAGCCAGGAGCAGCACACTGTCGCGGTGCAGACTCGGCCTGTGCTCGGAGTCCACGCCGGGGCCTTCCCAGCCGGCAGCCACAGTCACACTCGCGGCGCACTGCCCCTCTGCCTCCGCGGCCACAACCACTGACCTCTCTGCCCGAGCGGGAAGGTAGCTGCAGCTTTTCAACGCTTTAAGCAGCTGACACCAATGCAAAGGATGCTGCTTTGTGAGATCGAATCTGTTCGCTCTTTCTGAATTAGAAATTTTAAATTTTTATTTTTTACCACAAATTCTAAGATAACCCCAAATTTAGTAATATGAAAGAGACAGCCTCTAACTTCTAGTTGGGGTAAACAGTTTTACTTTTACAGGCAGACAATCTTGGAATGAGCAAACTAAACGATGGGGCAGTAACAGAAAATAAAACATACTATACAACTTACACAGATGTACTAAATTCTACTGGGGACGCTCTCATCAAAAAATAAGAGCGAGAGCCACATCGTTAGAGTCCGTCTACTGACAGCCCTGCCCCGCTAAGGAAGGGCAGGCAGCTGACCCCAGGCTGGCACAGGGTTACGGTTTACGTAGCCTGAAAGGAACGAGCTCGGCCAGCGACTTCCAACCTTTGTCATCTCAGGACACACGCAGACTAGTTACTGAAACTCCGCGGCACACCGAAAATATATTTTTTGTTGATCTGACAAAAAAAAAGCATTTTCAGCCACTCACACTGGACAGCTATTGTAGTGTGACATGCCCAGCTAAGTGGCTGCTGTCATTTTTTAAAATGTGATCACCTGAAGAGAGAGAGGCCACCGCCCAGCCGAGCAGCCAGGGACTGCGTCTGTAAAACGCCCGTGGCACACCAGCGGAAAACTGCTGAGCTTCACTGATCAATGCCAAGTCTCAGCTACAAAGTGTGAAAATTCTATCTGAACCGTATCAAAACCCAGCGCATATCTAAAAGCAAACGCAAAACTCTGCAATCTTCCTAAGCTGCCCTAAGAAATAATTCAGTTTTCGTTTAGAGGGTTTTATTGCCGCCACAACGAGCAGGGATGACAGCAGCCTTGCTGTGAGTGCTGCTGTCACCAATTCTCGTCCCCAGACCTCCGCTCTCATGAGCTGGAGATGAGGCACACCTGTGGTTGAACATGGGCTCTGTCACTTATTTGCAGCGTCACCTTAGGCAAACAACCAAACAAACAAACAACCCGACCCCTTCAAGCCCCACCTCCCCGTGGAATGGGCAGGACGCAGACTACCGGAGATGTTCGTGTGCAGACGAACTCCGTGAGCTGCCGTGCGCAGACGGCCGGAGCGACCACACTGTCACTGCGACTTCCCCTCTTCGCCCGGCCTCCACTCCTCCTCCGCATCACCCTCTGCCCTGGCCTGCACTCTGACACCGCAGAGGGCAGCCAGGGTTCTGGCCGTTAGCAGCAAGATGGCACTCGCACTTCTGAGACCCTTAGCGGCTATCTTCTGTGACTTTAACTGCCCTGGGATTGCTGCTGCCTCTTCCTCAAGGAGCTCTGTGGCCTGACTTTGTTCACTGAAGTCTGACCGAAATGAGCAGAGACTGAGGTTCATCACACAATCAACCTGACCAACAACATAATGCAGTTTCTAACAGGACCACCCGAGCTTAGAAGGTGCAGGAAGCAGCAGAAGGATATGGTAAAAAAGCTCAGCAATTATGTCTCCAAACCACAGACACACTCCCAAGTGGTTACCTATAGGGTTGCAGGGAAGAGCCGAACAGTTCCTGAGCCTGGGAGACGGCGGGCGCAGCCCCCAGACTCAGCGGGGCCTGGTGCTGCCCTTGCAGGGGCGCGTAGATGGGGATCGGGATCTGCTGCACCGAGGCGGGCTGCGGAGCAAGGGGAGAGCAGTGTGAGCGCCGCGGACACAGCTCGCGACAGGGAAAATACAATCAGCTACGAAAAGAATGAAAGATTCACGCCGCATGCCAGTTTCCTCTGCAAGCAAAACCGAATGTGCACATTTACCTTTTCCTTTCAAGCCATTACTTGATTCTACATTGTTAACCATTAAACACTGGCAAGACTTGGGAAGGCTTTAACACTGGTAATTATGGGTTGTCCCGTGTTGTTAAAAGAAGTTTGTAACTTCGAAGAGGCTACTGTTTGCAGCCCAAGATAACGGTTACACCGTAAAACCGCCAGCGAGCCCCCGCAGCATGGGAGGAGCCCACGGCACCCACCTGGGAGAGGCCCGGCTGGAAGCCCTGCTGCTGCGCCAGCGACGGCGGGGCCAGCCGTGCGTGCTGGGTGCCAAACAGGTGGCTGGTGTCCATGTAGAAGGCCGGGATCTGAGCTACACGCCGGCGGGAGGAAACAAGCAGCCGTGAGTGCCTCACCTCAGAATTTAACACACCGGTCTATGAAATTAAAACGGCGACTCTCAAGCACCGGCGAAGGTGTCGAGAAACGGACTCTCGTGCACTGCCAACGGGGTGTAAACCAGTAACGTGTCACATACTCCGTTCAAATTACAAGTGAACCTGTTGGACAGCAAACCCACTCCCATCTTAACTCTATCAACTACAGTTCAGCAAAATATTGAAATAATTTGTGGTGCAGATTTTTAATAGATTTCTATGTATTACGCACACTATTTTGCAATTTGCTATTTTTGTTTTGAAGAACTTCCCATATTGTTTTAAATTTGGCACCATTAGAAATGGTACTGCAATGAACGAACACCCTCATATACGTATCTCTGATTAATAAATTTATCTGTAAAAAAGTAAACTTATTCATCTGATACAGATAAACTTACTAACAATGAAATTGTTACTATAGTAGGTACGCATAAAATACCTGGTGAAATTTTTCTAGAAGAATTACGACAAATTCATATGCTCACCAGCAAGGTACTTAATGAAGAGCCCAATACAACACCCATGACCCTTACAGATACTGGGTATTAAAGACGCTGGTTATCAATCGTTCTACAAGTGCCCACATGTAAAGTCGAGAAATAGCCTCACTGTTGTTTTGAATTTAAATAATTAATGACTTGAATATTATTCAAATGTTTATTTACTATTTAGCTCAGATTAATATTGTGACATTTAGTAATACAAGTTTCCCCACCCTCAATAAATAATTTTTTCTTCTCTGCTATTTTTTTAGGTTTATTTCTCCCCATGAATTTTAGTATCTGGCAAGTTTCAGATAACAAACTTCTATAATGATTGCAATAGTATCAAATGCGTAAGTTATTTTTCATGTTATTAGACACTAACTTGTCAAATGTATGTGTAAGGAACAACTGCCAAGAGCCCCAGAATGCTTATCAAGAGGACGGCAGTCAATTCTTTGTGGAAATAAATTTGCAAAGCAGATAAAAAATACTGAAGCTGGAAAGGGTAACTAAGGAGAGAAGAAACAAGCGCTCAGAAGCCTGCATTTCCGAAGCTCCTCCCACTCCAGCCCGACCCCACCTGCCGCAGACTGGGACACGTAGACCTGCGGGCTCTGCTGCTGCTGGGCGATGAGGGAAGGCATGCAGCTCAGCTGTGAAAAGTGGCTGGCGGAGGGCAGGCTGCTCGTCTGCAACTGCTGGGGTTTCACTTTACAAATGTTAGGAGGGTCTGACGTGGTCGTCGATTTTGTGCTCAGAGAAGAGGTAGTGTATGTACCAGCTCCTGTATTTGGGAGAGGGGTAAAATAAGGGAACAATGTAGTATATTTTAAAGTGCCGCTGCTGTTCAGGGTAAAATAACTCAAGTGCCAATCGGAAACCAGAAAATTAATGTCTACTGCCCCACCATGCACTTAGAAGCTGTATGTGCCGCAGGCTAAAAGGAGACATGTCATTATCATAATTATCACTATCTATAGCTCTCCCCCCCGTCCAGCACCCCCCTGCGTGTACCGAGAGAGAGAGAGAGAGAGAGACAGACACACAAGTAAGTGGCCTTCTACAACCTGAAAGATCAAAGATTTCTGGTGATCAATGAGCTCTAATGACTGCAATACTGGAGCAAATTACAGCACTGGTATTTGATGAGAAAGGGAGATGGGGCGGACATTTACTGTCAGACGACTAGTGATGCCGTATCTAAGAGAGGACAAGATCAAGGGACCTCTGCTCTTCCACTTGGGTCTCTCTCTACCAGCAGGATGACAGGAAGGCCCTCATGGCAAAAAATTTATCCTAGTTGGAAGACCAAGGAGAAACCACACAGACCTGGAAAAAATTGAAGTAGCTGGGTTCCAAAGGAAGAGCTAGGAAGCTCTGCAGCCCCAGTATTTCCGAATCTTCCGACAGACCCTCCTGCAGTGGGCTGAGGCCCAAGCAAGAGCCAGGGGCAGAGCTGGGGCAGGGGACGCTTGCACAGCAGCAGACACAGAGCTGGAAGACTCCTTTTGATTTGAATCTCTGGGTTTGTCTTAATAAATAAATAAATAACAACACGTACTTCTGATTCTAAATAGTACCAAAATAACTGTAGTGTAACCCAAAGATTGGTTGGTTTGGTAAAACTTAAAACTAGCAGAATGCCAGAAAAAGAAAAAGCAGTATTCCCAGAAGTAAAGAAGACCAGTAAAGGTAAATTCGGAAAAGGTAAATTCTTTGCTGCATATATTTTATAACTATTGGAAAAGAGTTTAGCAACTGCTTTGGAAATGTCAGAGAACACTGGGAAGCTTGACACGAAATTTCCATGTTCAGTAGAAGAAACATGATTATGCACATGGAGAAAGGGTGTGTCCCCCGAGTCGAGCATTTTAGGAACAGCCCCTGCGACCCTCCGAGGACTGCAGAGCCTCCCACCTGACAGGACTGCGCACTAGGGGTAAGTACGGGGGGAAGATCACCTTCTAACCTGGGATGCTGATGGACCCTCCTTAGAAACAAACAAGACAAAAACCCCAAACCAGCAGACATCGTCCACTCAAAAAGCAGAGACTGGAAATTCTCTACTCATAACTCTTCACCAGGCAATGTTAACCCAATAGACTTAGGCCCACATCTCCTTCAAATGAGATAAAGATCACAAAAACTTTAAAACCTGTACGATTGTTTTATCTTTGAGTTGGTTAAATTAGCTGTGTGTGAATTCAAAAGTAAAAATCAAGAGATAAATTTTACAGAAAAATGTAGAGAAACATGGTAAAATTTTCTTCACCAATTACTTACTAGCATCTACGGTGGGGGACAGGGTGGGGATGGGGAAAAAGGAAGGTCCAGCAGAGGGTTTTAGGAAGCCATCAAGAAGCATTTGCTAAACGAAAACTGCGAGAGGGCAAAGAGAGGGGCGGGGGTGAGAATGGCGAGAAGTTACTCATGCACGATCTGCCATCTTTTGCAAACAACGCTTTTTGGGGGAACAGTAAACAGAAAGCCATCCTGAGAAGTCGGCACGAAGGGAAGGTTCTTAGAGAAAGGGCACAAAGACTTCCACCTGACAGCGACGTCGTGGGGGTGACCGAGGCGACAGGGATCTGCGGCATGGACGCACTGGAGAAGGAGTTGTAGTTGGCGCCGCTCGGCCCACTGGCACTGCTGCTGACCCCAGGGGCGATCGGGGGGGCTGTGGAAGTTACTGGAGAGCCCTTTTCCCTCACATTTGGAGAATTCTCCCATGCCTTCCGGGCAGACTCCATCTGCAATGAAACGACAAACAAGTTACTATGCTAACACAGAATACGCGTATATGTATGTACATAAATATATTGCACACATGTACATAGATCTGTATTTACATTCTAAATATAATCTTTCAGAAACCACAAAAATAAAAGATGAAGACCCAAGGGGTTTCAAACTTTTCATTACCCCCCTGTATCTCTGCTTTTTTACTTGAATTGGGAGACAGTGGGCTTTAATGATATCTCTATAGAGAGCTTGTTGACAGCTCTGGCGAACAGGCCAGTGACAGATAATGGCACAGCTCCAGTATCATCTAGACCTGAGTCCCTGCCCTGACCAGTGACGAAGAAGATGGAGCTACCAGGCCCCTGCAGGACTGATGTGAGGCTCTGACTAGTGGGAAAGGCACTAGAGGCTCTCCACCAATGCCCATGCCCTCTGTTTTTTTTTTAAGCCAGCAGTTTTCACATGGCATACGCCAGGCACCTTTTGTTTGGCTGTTTTACGCTCACAGTGTTTTAAAACACTGGTAATGTAGGCTCTGGCCGGTGTGGCTCAGTGGATTGGGTATCACCCTGCAAACCAAAAGGTCGTGAGTTCGATTCCCAGGCAGCCCGCACACCTGGGTTGTAGGTTTGGTCCCCAGTCAGGGCACGTGTCAAAAGGAGGCTGATCAATGTTTCCCTCCCTCTCTGGAATCAATCAACCAAAAATAAACACATACATAGATAAATAGACAGACAGACAAATGGTAATGTAAGCAGCTAGGTTTTAGGCTTGGGTGTAGCAGAGACACCTGTTTCCCACTGTGGCCCCCTAGGACAGACATTTCGGGTCCTGGCTGCGCCATTTGTGTTTGGGGCTACCGGTTCTAGCTGCAGTCTCCTAGCTTCTGAAAGGTGGCAAACAGGTCTTACTTTAATCTATTTTCAGTCTCTCTAGAGCAGTGCTGTTCAACAGACATAAAAATGTAAGCCATATACATAATTTAAAATTTAGTAGTTGTATTTAAAAAAATAAAGAGGTACTACTAATTTCGATAACATTTTATTCAACTCAATATAAAAACCTGTTAATGTAAAAGCTGAGATGCTGTAATTAAAAAACAAAACAAACAAAAAAATGACCATTGCAGACCCAGCGTCCATTTCACTGTATGCTGAGGCACACGCCTCCCCTCACTCGGACTGGCCCACGCAGCGCCCAGTGACTCCCCGTGCCAGTGGGCGCGGGGCTGCGAGCACAGGTGCAGACCCTCACAGCCCCACGGCCACCTGGACAGGGAGCAAAGACACACACACACACACACACACACACACACCCAGGTCGGAGGTTTTCAGTCCCGCTGAGCTAAGTAAAATTCAGATGCCATGTCTTACATGAGTGTACTACTTCTTAACAAGATTTTAAATAGCATGGTTATTAGGTAGTTTATAGGTTCTCTGTACTAACTTTTAAAACTTTAACCTTATCTCCATCGTAAGAATTTGAGAAATATTACATGCCTCCCTGCTTTCCTTTTAAAACAGACATAATATATAAGTTAACCTTTTAAAAAAATGACTGTTATTCCATAAATTCAAAATACAATTCACGTTTATGTTTGCTTACATCTTTTCCTCACCAGCACTTTGCTTGCTGGTTTCAGATGTGTTTTATTCTAAACAAAAGTTGCTTTAAAATTTGGGTGTGTGTGTGTGTGTTAAAAAACAACTTAATGCAATTTCCTTACACAATCTGAGATTTTGTGATTTGGAGCAATTTTATACAGTACAATGCCTTTTGTACCAATTTTATGGTGTTGAAAGCACAAATTAGAGCTAATCAAACTTGCATAATACATAGGCCACATACATTTGGCTTTATTTCATTACTTAAACAGAAGGATAATTTAGATTTTAATTTTAGAAATTCAAGGAAACTAAAAAGTATAATTACTTAACTATATTTTTCCCCTTGGTAAATATACTGTCAATAATAACCATATAATAGAACTTTTCTATTATGTTACATACCTTTTATGTTACCCAAATAGAGAGATGTCAGAAGTAAAAATAAGGACACTAGGGAAAGTTTTAAGTTAATGAAATTTAATTTAAATTCATTTTAATTCTAACTGTATATTATTTCTTCTTGAAGTATAGAAAGCACTGAGTGAAAGGCAATGTTGAGGGGTTTTTCTGGAGAATTAACAACTGGCCTATAGGACAGTCAGTGCCACATCCGTTGACGTGGCATCAGACCGTCGCCGTGAACAGGACGAGCCAGGACGTGACACGCAGGCTGAGGCCGCGTCGTTCTGGCGGAAGGCCACAGCAATGCCGAGCAGGGACTGGCAGGAAACGGTAAGAACTGGGTGAAGACGGTGACGACAGGAAGCTCAGGTGGTTGTCTTACAAAATTTTGTAGTATCAACGCACGTTTATTATGTCTCTTACAAGGAAGCTGGGGGGCAGGGGGGGCAAGGGGTCAGGAGGCTGGAGACTCAAACAGAAGAGTCTGGAAGTGAACATGGCCACATCCCAGAACTACTTAGTGGGCCCCTCCCCTGAGGACCATCAGAAAGATTCCCTGCCCTCCAGCGCCACGTTAGAAGGCCCTGCTGATAACAGAGGTTAAATACTTGCCTTAAAAATAAGACCCTTATTTAATTCCATGTCTGCACTTTTTAACAACTGACTAATCTTGGAAAGAACTCATTTAAAATACTCTCAAACAACTCAACTGTAGCTAAGCGTTAGTAACATAGCTCTAAATTATAAGGACAGTAAGAGATAAAAAACAAGCCTAAACTTGACAGCAAAAAGCACTTGCCTAAAGTCTCTCTTGCCTCCTTATTCAAAGATTATCCACTAACAATCACTTCAAAGTCACTTGCATTAATCAACTACCTCTTCATAAAATATTCTAACTACTACATTGCTTTCATTCAATTCACATATGACTGACAGGACAGACAAAAAATTAACATTTTTATCATCATTTGTACTTAGGATAAAAACATGCAGTACCAAGCTAGTTGTTTTTTGTGTGCACAATATATACAAAAGTTGTTACAATCTCTAAGAGAAACTTAGTACAAACATGGAATATAAAGGCTCTCCTGTCACTTTAAGACCAAATTCACAAGCATAGTAGGCCCCCCTTTAGGTAGGAGGATATCAAGTCACTGCTAAGTGGTATTAGAAGCTATTAAAAGTTTAAGGTGCAATTTGACATTGCTCTACTTCCTCGGCTTAGTGTTGTTGTTTACCATACAAAACCAGTGAAACACACACACACAAAAGAGTATCGTTAGCTTATGTCCCCTTGCATGCAACAGTGAAGGACTTAAGGTGGAGGTGGTACATACCTTGAAGGTGAGGCTGAAAGTAGTGGGAGGAACTGGAGTTAGGCTGGAGCTCTGCTGTATAGTCTCCCTCTTAGGGAGGGGAAGGGTGTTGGGCAGGGGCACCTGAAAAGGCAGGCAACACAGATCACAATCTAACTAGCTAGGTCTGCTACAAAGCCCTGCTGAAGGGAGTGCTACCGTGCTCTAAGGAAGTTTCATTTCTCATCAGAGCCAAATGGAATTTTTGATTACTTAGAGTTACACTGTATTTGTGGTAGCTGACAATTTTGGACACCTTAGATAAAATTCCTGAAGAGAAATATCACCTGCCTGTCTACGGCTGAACGGAAAGAGTCTGTCCCAAAGAGAAGGCTGGGCACCCGAGCCCATGCTTCCCGGGGCCACCGACTTCCTGGAGCAGCAGCAGTGACGTGACCACCGCACTTGCCGTTCGATGCTCGGAGGCATCAGACGCCCACCGCCACCTCTCTTCCTTCGCTCTGAGTCTCAGGACCTGGAGATTTCTGTGGCGCACTACTCGCCGCCTGACTGCTCTGGATGGCTCACTCACGTGCTCAGGAACAGTGACTGAGAAGGCGGGTGGCCGGTGGTCACTCTGGAACACTGTGGACTAACTGATGGAGACCCTAATACCACGGACGACTTCACGGAGACTGGCTGTGCTACAACAATCTCCAAGACATTCCAAACAACGGGAATATCAGGTAACACTAACCAATAAATATAAACTGAGATCCAAAAAAAGTATATTAAGCTTCAGTAAGAAAGAGAAATAAGCCTCCTTTTAAAAACGACAGAAGTTCTGGCATAAAGCAGATCTCCCAAATGGATTAATGAAGGAAACAGAAACATTTCAAAAGGTCCTGTAATTCTGGATATTGTTTTTAACACTGTATTAACTAAGTTCAAAACCACCACCACAGTCTGCACAAGTAACACCGTGATACCTTTCCAAATGGAAGACCACTGACAACATTCCTTGAACCTGCCCGAGCTTTCTGTGCTCAACCACACGCTGGACACACTGCCCCGAATCCAACGCAGACCAGTCACTGCCCACCAGACCGGTCTCTGCCCCTCCGTGGGTCTCTGTGCCCAAGTCACCATGCTCGTTAGCCTGCAAACCGCACAGAAACCATTCAGATGCTCACGGGCATTCCCAATGACTTTTAAAAGGGACTGAGAATAATCTTTCCTTCCTCTTCCCTATTTCATAAATTAACTTTTAGAGCGTAATTTGCCAGAAAAGCATCATATACTTTCTTGAAAAAGTAACGCCTAAGCCCTGGCTGGTGTGGCGCAGTAGACTGGGTGCCGGCCCATGAACCAAAGGGTCACGGGTTTGACTCCCAGTCAGGTCATGTGCCTGGGTTGTAGACTGGGTCCCCAGTGGGGGGTGCATGGGAGGCAACCACACACTGATGTTTCTCTCCCTCCTCTCTCGAAAAGTAAATAAATAAAATCTTTTAAAAAAGGAAAGAAAAAAGTAACACCTAAGAAATACTCTGTATTTTTAAAAAAGAGTGAAGACACCACAACTCAAGTACAAGTAACTTCACTGAGATGTTACAGATTCAGTATTTGATAACCGACACAGTGACACCAGCCAGCACTCACTTTGCCAGTAAGTCTTTTTGTCCTTCCCAAGTTTTCCATTACTTCCTATAGGAAGTTAAATAAATTCTAACCTTTCTCCAGAAGTTCAGAGCAATGGTTCTGGCACATGAGATGAAGTTTTCTAACAGCTAAAAGTTAGACAAATTACATTAATCAGCTCCTAGACTGAGCTACTACTGCAGCTCAGAAATGTGCGAGGCACTCTTTTTTCTCCCTCTTCCTCAGCTACACAGTAGGGGTCCTCCAGCTGGGCGACCAAGCTGGATTAAATGGCCCCCAACACAGGTCACCTCTCGGAAATTCTATATACCTGACGCTGAGGGAACAACAGAAAGCATAGGAAAAACTCTGTGCAAAGACACAATCAAGATTTTTATTCTCAAAACAATATAGTTAAAGCCTGGAGCGAGATACTTCTAAATATATCTACAAAAGATATTTTCGAAAATGCCTTTGCTTATTGTAGAGGAAACATTTTAAAAGAGAGCAGCTGACCAAACTCCTACCACCCCTGTCCTCCTAAGCGAGGGCCGCACACGTGACCCCTACACGCCTCTGTACCGCAGCGGGGCGCCCAACCTCCTCGGGTTTCAGTTTGTCAGTGGACTGGGCAGAGTGACAGGCTGAGATGATTTCTAACATAATTCTTCATAATTCTGAAAACCTGGTTGCTCTGGGAAACTAGAGCCAAAGTTACACGACTTGTTATGGCCTTTTACTAAAGCATTTAAGAACTGCTGAAGTACTTACATATGCATTACAGCTCAGTCTTTACAACAGGCATGCTGTTGTTAAGGTCCCGTATGAAAGGAAATAGCTGAATCTTTGGCTAAGGTCCCGTATGAAAGGAAATAGCTGAATCTTTGGCAACACTGTTTTAATTGAGCAAGCTTTCACCACATTATAAAAAGGTTTCATTTAAGAACAAAATTACCAAAAAAAAAAAAAAAACCCACACACAACAAAAAAGAGTGCTGAATCTACAGAATGTAACAGCTAAGAACAAAAATTCTCACCCAAACCAGGTTAATAGGATTAGTACTAATGAAACCCAAGCCCAAGCACCACACTCCTGGATCTTAAATGGAAAGCAGATGGCTTTTAGGGGAAAAAGCAAAACCTCAGTTTAACATTTTTGCTAATTGTAATTGGATTACAGGACTCCTAAATACAAACTTGCGACCACCTCTTGCCCCAAGAAGAGTTAGGCCACACAGTATCTATTAGACAAGGGCCAGGCTCCTATCCCAACTCGCCACACCAGGTCGATTACTTACATTATTTACCAAAGTATCCTCCATCTTTGCATTATTAGTAGCCACAGTGTTAGGCAGAGAAGAGGAAGGTGTAGTATAGTCTGTTACAGACTCCTGTGGAGGAGTAATAGAAAAAAACACGTTTCAAACTGAATTATCGAGTCACCTCCTAATGACAGCCTGACCGTTACAACGTTTTGGAAGAGAGCAGGGGAGGAGAGCAGGCCCGAAGAACCAGCTACCTCCAGTCTCAACAAACACTAGCAGTGGGGCCAAACAAGCATGGAAGCACCACTGAAATGGTACTACTACTGTTCCTGCTGGGGTCTGCACAATTTTAAAAACACATTAAAAAAATAAAATAAAGTAAGAAAATAAAAGCAGCAGCACTGCACGGTGTCAGGAGTTGCCAACAGCACTGGATGCTTACTGTCTGTGGGTTACGAAAAGAACTGTGTGTGGATCTCCTGCTGTCATAACCTACAGCTTACTTTCAACCATTCATTTCTTATTCTCTTCAAAATAAAACAATGTAAGTAAATGAATGTCAAGATCTTAGCTACTGCAATGCATTAGGTTTTAGGATAAACATCTTGTTTATCATCGTTAAACTCTGTATTTAAACGTGGTAGAACTAAATCACATGAATTTCTACCAGAGAAATACGCAAATAGTGCAGAAGAGTCCACCCACCTTTCTTCTCAGAGAGTACATGTCCCAGCAGGGCTGACGGAGATTTGCTACTCCCACAAGTGTGAGTCCCTGGGGCTACCCAGTGCAGTGAACTCACTCATTAATGAGTTTTAGCCCCACGCATCTTTCATTCAATGTGGTCCCTAAGCACAAGGCAATTACTTCCTCTAGTGCTCACCCAGTGCAACAGCGACCTGGTCCAACCCCGGAAGAAAACTGGCTGAAGTCTGCTTAGTTCCCAAGTTCAAAATCTCATAGTGGGCAAAATAAGGCTCCGTTGTAACTCCATTAACAAAAGAAAAAGTAATGCAGACGGACCCTTTCAAAGACTACAAACCCAATGAAAACCACTGTAATCTTGTGTAAGCATTTTTCACTTTTGACTACCGAGGGGTCCGGAAGTAAGAGTAAGTTTCTACAGAAAGAAACCACTAACTGGGAGAGATTTCTTTGGACCACACATGCACATCATGAAACAAAGGCTTCTATCAAGAAATACTGCAATAACCGACAGAGTACGTAGAACTACACGGCTCACTCTGCGCGGCTGCACTCGGACTCCCCGCGGCGCTCACCTTCACGTTAGCGGCGTACTCGGCGGAGGACACCGAGATCATCGTGCCGATCTCGGCAGACATCTCTGACGCGGCTTTGGCTTCCTTTGTCGTCGCGGGGTCCGCGCTTCTCACCGCAGCGGGGCCCAGTTTCTCCGGTCCTTCTGGCTCCACCTGCTGGGCGTCTTTTACCTTCCTGTTTTTCAGTGACCGCTCCTTTCCAATAGGACCAGGTTTATGCTCTTTGTTTTCTACCGGACTCAAATCTGGAAGCTGAAGTCAACGTTCATTAGCAAAAAGACATGACGATCAAAGGCATTCACTGAACACAAAACTCGACTCAGAACTGTTACCTGCTCTCCTAAGCGTTAGTGGTTTTTATGCAATGACACCTGGGGCAGGAATTGTATTTACCTTCTGGGCTTTGATGGGGCCTGCCCGGGGCTGCTTCTGCCGCTGCTCTTTCGGTTCAGGTACTTTGTCAGTAGTTTTCTCCGCAAGCACTGGAACAACTTCGTTTTCGTTCCCATTCGAAGCGGGAGCACCAAACTGAATTGTGTCAATTCCAATCTCAACTCCTTCTTGACCATTCTTTGTTCTCTAGTAAGGGAAATCAAAACAGAGTTCAGACTTGACAATGATTTATGTGGCAGCACATATTTTAAAGTTTAATAGGAGGAGGTTTGAGGCAACCTACCTAGTAACTGAGATTAACTAAGAGATCTTTCCCTTAACAACGATTTGTATGTTTTAGGAAACAAGTGATTAAATGAAAACTAGGATAAAGACACAAGTTTTTAAAGTCCTGGCTTTACGTGTCGTGAGTGTGGTCATGAGCCAATCACAACTTTAAGTTATTCCATCACTGAAATGTAAAAGCAACAAACACAGAAACATACCACCAGCAAGAAAGAGATGAATGAACGAATAAATGAATGAATGAGGAAAAGAAGACAGCAATGCCTAACAATCACTTAATATTTTCATGGAAGAACAAACAAAACACCAAGGATAAAGTTCACCTTCAGGCCTTGATCATATAATCGAGTCACTGCTTCACACCATTTTCAGACCCCCTGTGCTCAGTGTGAAATCACTGTATAAGGTTCTTGTTGAGTTTATCAGTGTGACCATGTCAACAGTATTAATAAGGCATGCAATTCAGATTATTTTCAATATCTGAATATCCACTTGCAGGTGGATCTATACAAGTAATGTATAAGTAAACATCATATCACTTAGAATAAAACTTTCTATCTGCTTTAGTTGACGCTGAAATTCTATAGTAAGTTCAGCATAAATTTTAGTATCAGAAGAGCAAATCACAGTAATTAATGACTAAAGCTATTAATTTTATGTACCAAAAAACCCCCCCACAAAACTGGTAAAGACTCACAGTTAATAGGACTATTAGTTTTAGGAAGACCATTATAAAAATGTTTAGAAAATATACATAATACAAGGAAGGAAAATAAAGCTTAGATCATAATACGGATCTTTGTGAATGTACTTAGTGTAACTAACATTCACAGTAATAAACAAAATCTTAATCATGAAGAAGTCTATTTCACTAGTCATTCAAGAAGTCCCATGACAAATTTCTTTTTATCTGGTGAAATAAATTAAAAGTAAACTACCAACTTTGTTAATTAAGAACTTTACCACAAATACTCCAAAGTCATGAACAATAAACAGCACCATCAACAAAACCACACTCTAACCAGAAAACATAACATTAAATAAACAGAATGACGAAAAATGAGGTATGACAAAAATGAGATACCAAACTATCTTGCTCCTCCAACCGGCTAAAGGTGAATGTAAATGCCTTTTAGCATCGCAAACTTGTAGTAGATTGCACAAAAAATCTTGTAGCTGAGAAATTATTATTCCTATACTTTAACGCAATTTAAAAGCCTGGACCAAACGTTTTAAAATTATTCAATCCAGTGCACCCATCTAAAGCAAAGAAACTTCCCACTTCATCCTTTGTATCAGCATGAAAATCTTGAACCTTCTGTGTAAGAAATGCTCTGCGATTAAGCATCATGTCAATACTACAGACAGAAGAAAAAGAATTTGACTGAGACCTTGAAATATGGAACCCAGGGACTGCGAATTCCACCCGCACAGGGAGTTTCTCTGGGGAACATTTAAAACAGGCGGCGGCGAGGCCTGCCCCAGACCCTCGGCCAGAAGCTGCCGCGGGGGAGGGGCTCCAGACCCACTTCTTCGGAAAAACGTCAACTGTATCTTTACCCCCTACCCCCGCCCCACTTCTCTGCCTCCCCTTCACAGGAACAATAAGTTCTCCACACTCATCTTCCCCCCCAGTTTCCTTACATTACACTCACGAAGGCCAGGCTTTCCCGCCTGCCAGCAGCTCAATCGTGTCTCTCACGTCTAAGTCGCCAGGGGCCTCCACGCTGTTAACTACGACTGTTGATTCGCAAGGCCTGTCTGACTTGACCTTCCAGCAGCATCTGACACACCTGATTTATCGCTTTCTACAAACTCATCTTCGCTTGGTTTCCAGGCCACTTTTCCAATCACTTAGCTTCTCCATCTCCTACATCTCCTTAGCACTTAAATTTTTTAATCTCTTTTCTTTTTTAACTACTTAGAACTCAGAATCCCTTGGCGATCTCATCCAACTATCGTATCACGTCAAGCAAACTCTACTGACTTTCAAATTCATGTCTCTGAACTAGATCATCTCCTCTGAACTCATGTCCAACTATCTACCTGACAAGTCCATCCAGATGTGTAATCAACACCTGAAACCTGACATGCCCCAAACTGACTGGCCTCTCACCTTCTCTCCCAGTGCCGATCCATTCCACAGCTTCCCGATCTCAGCGGACACAAACACCCTTCTTCTTGTATAAGCCAAAAGCTTTGGCGAGAACTTGGACTTCTTTTGCTCCCATACTACATTTGATCCATCAGCATCTTTGTCTGCGCCAAGCACTCAGAAACCAACCTCTTCTTATCCACCTCTAGTGCCACATCCCTGGACTAAGTTATCAGCATTCGGTCATGGTGACACTTTCCCTCTCCTATTCTTTTGCCCTCACACTGACTACTTTTAAGACTACCCAGAATGATCTTTTAAAAGTCAGATTCTAGTGTCCCAGGTTCGATTCCCAGCCAGGGTACATTCCTGGGTTGCAGGCCATAACCCCCAGCAACCGCACATTGATGTTTCTCTCTCTCTCTCTCTCTCTCTCTCTCTCTCTCTCTCTCTCCCTCCCTCCCTTCCCTCTCTAAAATAAATAAATAAAATCTTTTAAAAAAAAAAAAGAAAGAACAATTAAAAACAAACAAACAAACAAAAAAATAGAAGTCAGATTCTGGGACTCTTTTGCTCAAAACTGTCTATTGTCTTCCTATATCTCCCAAAGGCCTTAGAGGATCCACCCCTATTGCCTTCCCAACTGCATCTGTTCTCTCCATCCCTTACCTCCCTTGGGCCACGTGGACCTCCCTAGCCTTCCCCACACACACAGGGCCTGTTCCTTCTCAGGCCTTTCTGTCTGCTATGTCCTGAATCAGGAATTCGCCCTTCCTCAGACATGTGAATAGCACGCTCTCTTACCTCCTTCAAGTCTTTCACTCACAAATGTCCCCTAAGTAGCCTTTCTTGGCCACTCCGTTTTACACGGTCTTCACACCCCTTGGGAAGTCCCTCACGCGCCCTCCCTGCGCTGCTTTCACTTCAGCACTGACCACCATCTACTGCACAGTATGTGTCCTGCTGGCTCCCCCACAGTATGATGGAAGCCACACGAGCATAGATAGAGCTTTCGGTCCACTTTCTCCCCCTCCCGTAATAACCCCACAGGTCAGAACAGCGCAGGCTGCGTCGCCAGCACTCAATGTCCACTCCCTGAATAAATGAAGAACTGCTCACCCAAGCAGTCACTTACCAGTAAGGCACATCTGAGAAATTATGTTGGAAGAACCTCCTGCAAACTCTGAGTCTAAGTAAGTAATCACACTGCCTAATTATTCATAATAAAAAGGGGTAGGAAAGTCCAGAAAATAGTAAGCATGCTTAAAAAAATGTTAACCTTAAATGTCTAAACACAAGCAGCAGCTTACAAATGCAAGTATCCAGCAGCATTAACAGCATGCAGGAATTTGTTAGAATGTCGTCAGGCCTCAGCCAAGATCATGAATCAGAAGCCCCAGGCACAGAGGATTCTGATGCCTGCTGACTGCTGACGCGAGGGGAAACTGCTTTAACAGAACTCTGCCCTCGCAACCCCACTGAGACCACCAGCGGGTCTGCTCCTACCTCTGATGAAGCAGGCGATCCAAACGACGTCAGAGGCTTATTCCAGGCACTGACCGAAGGAGGCTGTGGTGGACTAATGGGCCCTACTGAAGAGAAGAAGCCACAGGAAATGGGGCCGTTAAAATGAAGAGGCTAATTATCCAGTGTTTCCCCTTCTGTAACAGCAGCTACACAATGAAACAATTGCTTTCCACACCACACTCATACCAAAACAAACATAAGTCCCCCAATATCGTGTATTGCTTTTATCAACATATGAAATACAGCTATTAAAAGTGTAACACACTTGTTTTAGAAGAAAAACGTTTTCAGGAAAAGAAGAGGAGATGGCTATAAAACCCCACGCTAAATAAACAAATAAAATGGAAAACAAACGCTGACATCCACGCCACTCCCCAGCACTCACTCCTCCGCTGCACACTTACATTTCTTCGAGATGTCACTCAGCACCGCTGGGGCGGCCACCTTGTTATCCCACAGTTCAGTGGGGAGAGTGCCATGTGGCTGTGAGGTCTGGATGGCCTTTCCCGTGGCTGCGTAACCTGTGCCGTTGGGTGTCTGAGCTGAGGGCAGTCTGATGGAAGGGGGTGGCTGTGGTGAAGACTGCGCTGTGCTCTGCAGGGGACTCGGGATTGGTTTGTGAGTCTGTCCCTGAGTCTGGGGTGGGACGGTGGGGCCGGGGCCTGGGATTGCGACTGTGACGAGGGCTGGGGCTGGCATAGGGGCTGGGGCCGGAACTGGAGCTGAACTGGCTGGGGCAGTTGGGGTTGAGCTGGCTGGGGCTGTTGGGGCTGAGCTGGCTGGAGGAGGAGCTGCAGTTGGTGGTAGGGCTGAAGCAAGAATGGGAATGGAGGCTGAGGCAAGGATGGGGACAGAGGCTGGGGCCGAAGCTGAGGCAAGGATGGGGGTTGGAGCTGGAACTGAAGGGGAGGAGGCTGCAGCAGGAGCGGAGGTTGGAGCCGAGAGTGGAGTGGAGGCGGCGGGCAGGACCGGGACGGTGGCCATGGCTGTGGCTGAGGCTGAGGCCGGAACTGGAGCAGAGGGCGAGGGTGAGGCCGAGGTCGGCACTGGACCTGAAGCCGAGGACGAAGCTGGACCTGGGGCTGGAGCTGGAGACTGTGCTTGCTGGGTCCCCGTAGCCTGTTTTTTGGCAAACCTTGGAGGAAGCTTAGAAGTCTGACTTCTTCCTTTTTCATTGGCATTTTTTTTGTTCCAGACCTTTAAAAATCGGCAGAAAACATTTTTGTCAATAATGCAGCTACCATTAACAGTTCATAAATATGCTTTCTAACAAAGCCACCTATACTGCTAATTCAGCTCCTTTACTTTTCAAAACACGTACTTCACAGAGCAAATGTGTCAAGGCTGCTAACAAGATTTTAAATGATGAGAAGCCAAGATGCAAGTGGGGAAAAAAGACAAATACATGTTATACATTCTTCATATCAAGGGCCACAATCTCTTTTCCACAACTCTGAAATTCAAAAAATTAAGTAAGTTTGCAGTAAATTCATCCAGCAGCAAAATCTGATCTGAGATAAAGCTGCTATCGACTTAACTCGTTTTTGCCAGAGAAGGATCAACTCCGAAGTGCCGGCGGGGCACTGTGCCACACGGGACATACGCACTACTGGTTCTACTGTCCCCGAGGTGCTAATGCGTAAGTGACCTCTGAAATTACCTAGTTATATACAAACTTCTCTCAGTACTACCATCCACACAAGATTTTCAGTTTCCTGTTTTGAAGCCTTTTCATCTATTAGAGCTCCAGCACTATCATTCATGTGTTCTACTTATTTTTATCGTGTGTCAGCATTTAGCAAAATGGGTGTTTGGCTTGATTTCAGTGGAATAAGCTATTCATGATGTGTCTAATCAAGTCAACTAATTTAGATTACCATACAGACTTTCTAAGTCAAGAATCTGCAATTTATTAAATCATGACAGTTGTGTCTGTCAGATTTCCGAGACACAAATCTTTCAAACTCTACCTTGGACGTGGAGTGAATAAGATGACTGGTACTGGAACATAAAATACCCTGCTAAAGTAAAGATGGTCTATGCTAAACCAAACAGTGATTATATTGCATTTAAAATTCACGTCAATACCGGTTTAAAAGCTTAAAGTTGTGAAAATCAACACTTGAGAATCAACATTCTCAACACTTGAATAATAAATGTACCCTTGACTTTCCAGGTAGATCGAAACCTTGATCATTTGCTAATGTATTCTGGGCACAAGCGAAATCAGCAGCAACAGGCTGAAACACCAAACCTGTATGACTTGTTCTTCCTTCTTGCGGCGCTCCTCGTCCTGCAGCCGTTTCTGCTGCTTCTTGGACACCACTTCAGTAAACCCGTCGTCGTTCAGGTTCGACTGTGGGTCTTCGACCACCGTCACTTCGGGGTGGTCGTCAATGATAACAACGCCTATGGGTATGGGGAAGGTTTTAACAGAGAAGACAAATTTTTAACAGAGAAGACAAATGAGACATTTTAGTTTGAAAGACAAAGCAAAGATCAGGTTCTGTGACTCAGTGTGTCCCATTTCTCACACCATGTGATGTCCATTTATTAGTAAGACTTGAATAAGGTTAGAAATAAAAGCCCTAAATTTATCCACTTTGAGTAATATGTGTTTTTTCGTTAAGCAATACAGTGGTAATGTATTTCTACAAAACAAAATCACCCTATTATTATTGTCCAGTCAAATCCCTTTGACCCCACCTACCCCAGCCAGAGTGAGACCCGCACTGTGCTATAAAGACTACACAGCACTTTACCCCACCTGCACCCAACCACCCAAGAGGCAGGCACTGCTGTGTCTCTTTCTCCAAGGCCACAATAAGCTTGGATTTGCTCGGTGGGGTTGTGACTAGCCATGGCAGCCCTATGATGCGTACGGCCTCCATCTTACATAGACCAGTGTCAACAGCGTGTGGCTGTTAAAAATAGTGGTGGGGATGTGCACACATGATCACCTAGCATGTGAACAACTCTCCTTGTTGTCCAGCTAACAACTATTCTGGCTATCTTGTTAAAATTATCATAGATCTCAGGAAGCATTAGAAATCTAGGTACATTAAACAATGTTAAAAGTAGTAAAACAGTTCAAGTACACAGTGCCTAACCAAGGTTTCCCATCACCACTGCCTGGTTTTAGCTCAGTAAATCTCTCCGGTTTACTCAGTGCTTCCAGTTTAAGTCTCATCCGAGCCAGTGACAAACAGCTCACTTTCACCTAAGAGTCTGCTCACAGACATTCCTTCACTTCCTCATCACACATTTCCTTCTTGCTTGTCATCCTTTGCGTTTGATATCCCGTCAGTCCATGGTTTTCTGAAAGTATCCATAGCAACACTGCCTCCCTTCCTATCACTTATTCTCTATTTACCATCTCTTAGATACCAATCTTATCAAGGTCACAACTCAATGAGGCTTAACATTTCTTTCATGTAAGACACAGCGTAATACACAGATGTTCTTCTAGTTCCAGTTACGTCAGTCAGTGATTCATATTCGGCTTCTATAGCCACCTTCTAGGTTCAACTCTCCTTTTTTGAATGTCTTTACTTATAGCATCCAACTCAATGAAACAAGCAGGTAAACGAACAAATGAAGGAAGGAAACCTAAGACGTACTTGCATAATTGTTGAGGTCGAACTGTGACAGCGCATCCACTTTTTCTTTGGGTTTCTTTGGGCCTGCTTTGGGGTCCTCTCTTTTCTTCCCGGCAGCATCTTTGGAGTTCTTCTGCCCGGTGCCGTTTGGCGCTCCTTCCTGGTGGTGCGCAGAGCTGCCGCCGACGGGATCTGCGCCAGGGCTGCCCGCAGACTGCTCATCGAACGGCCTACGGAGCATCAACGTGAGAGAGTACTGCTTCTACACTTGGGGTGCAGGGGGAGAGGGGGCTCTTCGCTGGAAGCTCTTAAAGTTTAGTCTAAGAAGAAACAGCGGTGGGACAGAAACTAACCCAAAACCAACGAGCTTCAGTGATGGGTGCTGAGTAGAACGTCACTGAAACTGAGCTACCCAAGGAAGGAGATGGACCAGCTCCCCAGGATAGTTCTTTCCAGCGATCACATTCTAGAATTCTAATCATCCCCTGAAAGTTCTTCTTTTGTCTATTTGCCTATCATGTTGTAAATGCTAAAGCAACACCGTTTATAGCAGAAAAGTTACAATGCAAGCTAGTCTAAAGTATTTACTACTGGATCTTCTCCACAAGAGGGCAGCATATGAAAAATATTTGAAAAGCTTTCTTTGTATGATTTTTAAAGTTCAGTAAGATTGTACATTAATGTAAATAAATCAAAAACTTTTATATGGAAACAATTCACAAACTGTATGTATGCCTACAGTTTTTGTTTCATAACAGACAAATTTTATTCTTGGGTTCATTTCATAAAAATTTTATGAAAATGGACCATGGAAAATGTGTTTACAATTTCATTTACATCTTAGCCTACAGAGTCACTCAAGATAAAAGTTTACCAAGTGCCCGACACAAGCATGACCTCAAATATCTGCAGGGTGAATTCAATTCTTCTAAGCAGGACTGACAAACCATTAGCTTCAACTACAAGCTGCTGTTTCTGCAGGTTCAATGTCGCCAGCATTTACATGGCACCCAAGTCTTGCTAAGAAGTTGAAATCGGCTCAGTATTTGCCTTATTATTCATACTTCTAATAGTTCAGGTGTAGTCAAAACTATTACTGTATTTTAACTACATGTTGTCCTTCTTTTGGACTTTACATATCTCCCTACAACTTTTTCTAAATTATCAGAAAGCAAAAATGTTTTTTCACTGATAGATGTAATAACCTGAAATGCTAAGCCTATGCAACTAGCCAATGCGGAATGTAATACTAAGTAAATAAATTTCTTACTAGCTCAGGCTGCAAACCTGGGGATTTTGGTCAAGAAATAAAAAAAAAAAGGCACACCGTAACAGTTGCTTACTATATATAAACCAGGAATGTTGAATGCTTCGCAAATACCACATCAGCATCTTTACATATTTTTATAAGTATTACTGCTTTCTCCCATTTTAGTAACAAGGAAGCGAAGAGTTTATGTAACTAGTAAGTACCAGAGCCTAGATTTAAAAGCAGGCATACTGCTATAATTGTTTACAATACTAAAGAAATCAATAATTTACTACAGCCAACACTTTAACATTTGAAAGGACAGATTAAGCCTGACACAATTTAGAAAAATTCTTTGTGACAAAAGCCAGCGGCCTGGTCCTCGTCACCGGCGGCCTTGGTGGCGGGGTGGCGCTGTGCTGTCAGCAGGGTGGAACGTGCTGTCTGGGCCCCTGCGGCTGGACCGTTTACTGTGGATTTGCAGCTAGAGGGGGAATGTTAACTTATCCTTAAGGGCCCACGCTCACTCCCTACGATTCAGAGTGATGATACAGTTCATGCTGCGACACCAGGTCTCCAGAGGACACCTGTGAACACCAGAGTGCACGAGAAAGAAGGACAGCAGCACCAGTGCAAGAACTGACTCACAGGAGGACACTGGGCATGCCCAGCCCCAGGTGCGCAGCTTTTCCCAAAGGCACAGATTCCTAAGAAGCCTCTCCGGGACAACGCCGCAGGCAGAGACGCCTGAGCTACATTAGCCCACTGTTTCAGGCTCCTTCCCACTTTGAGGACAGAGAAGAGAATCTGGGGAGGACAGGAGTCCGCCTCTGCCTCGACCGGCTCCACCGCACAGTCCAACCAAGAGGTGGCTCTGGGAATCTGAGGAAGTAATTACACGTGACACAAAGTACTCACCCTCGCTTCCCACTTTTGGACGGTGGGCCGCTTCTCCTTTCACTCCTGGGACCTGAGAAATTCCTCCCGGACTTGGGTGGGCCACCGTTGCCACGCCGATTCTGGCGGTCTACCCCAGGCCTCTGACTAGAAAAACTTCTCTTTGCTGTTTCTCTCTTTGGGGCCGAGACATTCTCTCCAGCCTTCACGACAGCTTGTGCATTCAAATCCGCATTTTTTTTTTCATCCCTCTCCCGCCTCTCATTGAAATCACTGCTTTCCGAAGCTGTTTCCCATTCTTCGTTGGCCTGATCGGAAGAGTTCTGATTGGATAAATCTGGCGTCTTATTCCCGGAAACGTCCCCGGCAGCAGCAACGGGCTCTGGAACCACAGTGCTCACTGTGCCGCTTGTGGGCGCGGCCACCTCGCTGGTTTTGGAGGCCGCCTCCCGCTCTCTGAGCCGTCGAAACCGAGGTGGCTTATCTTGCCTGGGTGGCCGGGTAGGACGCTGCCTCCGGGGCCTCTCTCTGGCTGGGTCAAATTTCCGCTCGAACTTGGGAGGCCGTTTATCGGCCGGTACGGGAATGAACGGCTCCTGTCTTCTTGGTGGCTCTCCATCATCAGGTTTGGGAGCTTCGACCGGCCTTGGGTTCCACTGATTGTCCCGATAGGCAGGTCTGCGTAAGGTGGAAGGGCGAGAGGGGCGGCCTCCGGGGTCCCTCCCGCCGCGCCTGAACGTGCCCCCTCTGCCTCGCCGGGTGGGCTCTCCTTTGGGAAGGAAACCTGGTTTGGACTTGTCGTCGTCCCTTATGTACGGCTTGTCCAGAGGTCTGTTATCTACTCGGACGTGATTTTCAGGCTTGAAAGAAGACTGAGGCTTCACAGGTTTTTTGTTTTCAGACCGCTCCTCTCTTTTGGGAAGTTTACCTTTGCTTAAACTGTCCTTGTCGCTTGCACTCTCGTGAACCTCACTGTCTGTGTCCGTCTCGGAACCTCGCTGCCGTCTTCTTTTGGGAACGACCTCGAAGTCGGAGCTCTCGCTGCGAGTTTCACTCTCCTCTCGCTGCCGGAGAGGCCCCGAGGGCACGTGCTCCGTGCGAGGCTTGCTGTCCCGGTACTGGGGGTACTCTCGGGCGTGCCCTCGCCCCCCGCGGCCCCGCCCTCCGTAGGAGCCTCTGTAGCTCCGGCCTCGGGAGTAGTACTCCCCTCGGCCTCGACCTCTGTATCCTTGCTCTGGAAACCAATCTCTGTCTCGGGCTTCCTTCCAATAGGTCCTGGGAGGCAGAGTTGATTCTTTTTTAACTGCTGGTCTTGAATCTGGTCGAGGCCTCTCTGTAACAAGTTCTTTGCCGACGACTTTTTCAGGCTGTTTCTCTTCTTTGACGGTTGGTGCTGCGACGGCCTGACTTGCAGTTTTGGCCGCAGGCTCCACCTCAGCACCACTTCCACGCTCCAAGGGCTTCTCAGTCTCTGGAGGCGGCTTCTGCACCGGAGTGGGGGTCTCTGTTGAAGGCGAAGTCTCTGGCTCTGGGGGAGGTGGTGGAGGAGCAGACTGTGGCTGAGTGGGTGCTGCAGGTGGTGCGGGTGGAGGAAGAGGCTCTTTCTTTTCTACTTTTTCCGGTTTCACAACCTTCTCAGTGACTCTCTCTCCCTTCTCTCCCTCCTTCTCCTTCCTCTGCTCCCGCTCCTCTTTCATATCTCTAAGGACAGGCTTTTTAATGGGACCCGACCTTCTCACGGGCCTATCATTGCCTTCTTCTCTCCTGCTAGAGCCTGGCCTTGGGCCCCAACGAGTTTCCGATTTAGGTTTATACAGTTTTTCTGGTTTTGGTCCTTCAGAGGATCGTATAAAGCCATCCTTTTTTGGCTTGTCCTCTGACCTTTCTGCTTGCTCTTTTGAATCCATGCACCTGCTGGTTATTTTAGGAATGCTTGCCGAGGGCTCGTTTCTTTGCTCCTCTGATTTCTGAGTGTGGTTGGATCCATGGGAAACACTTCTTTTCCGGGCGGGCTGACTCTCTCCGGCAGAAGCTCGCTCCTCCTGAGGAGTGGAGATGGTCTTTTGATCAGGGGCATCAAAACAAGCTGGCTGACTATTTGCATCAGCGTGGTGAGGCCGAATGTCTTCTACAGATCTGCTCAGAAACTTCTGCACGTCGGCCTCATTGGGCTCTCGGACAAAGTCTGCCTTTGAACGCGCCTCTAACTGACTATGCTCTACAGGATATGCAGTGGTTACCGGCTCCTGATCCAGCGGGGCTTCAGGCCTAGGATGGGGGGAATTCAAAGGCATAACCGTCAGGGCACCATCTTTCTCGCATGTAGTGCACAGCAAAGCAACTCTCTAATGTTCACACAAACCATGGACTCTAATCATAAGGAGCACCTTCAGGTCTCTATAAAGTTTACTGCAGCATTATTCAAAATAGCTAAGAGGTAGAAACAACTTAAATGTCCCTGACAGACGAATAACTTAAGAAAACGTAGTATATATACATATAATGGATCGTCACGGAGCCATTAAAAGAAAGAACAACGAGAAAATCTTATAAACTACCACAGGGACAATAACATGACGCGAAGTGCAATAAGTCCGCCACACAAGGACAAATGCCGCACGACCCCACCTGTAGGGGGTGTGTCCTGGATGTGTGACCGCATCCCGGCAGACAGCAGAATGCTGACGGCCAGCGCCTGGGGGAGGGGATTGAGGAGCTGCTCCTAAATGCGGCGTGTTCCAGCGGGGCAGGACCAGCAAGGTCCAGAGCACTGTTCTGCTGTGTAGCGCTGTGCTGAGCATGAAGAGTGTGCTGTACACCTGAAGTTTTGTTAGGAAATTGTGTTTGCCCCCCATTTGAGACTGAAGGTTCATTCCTTCAGTCCATGCATGCTGATGTGACTTTTTAATCCATCAAGACTAATAGTTTTCACCTACAAAGTACCTTGAGTAGGTCCGTCTTTCCCAAAGAACCAGAATTATTAAAATATCACAATATAAAAGGGCAGAAATTTTAACTTTATGGGTATAAATTAAGACTAACTATCTGCCACTTTAAAATTTCTTTGTAAATTAGATTATGTCTTACATTGGCTTTAGAAAATGTCCACAAGATACTGACAACTAAATGTCCACCATTTCTCATTAGTGGAAGAATTACATCAACTCTTCAGCTACTATGTCAAATACTTAATCAATGGTTAGAAATCTGCCAATTTTAACACGTAACACTAAATTTCAGCATTTAGTTCAGTACACAGAACTACTTTACAAAAAGCCTCAATATAGAAATGCCAGAAATATAAATGCCCAGAAGTGAACCCCCCCGCTCCCACACACACGCAGCGGGAGGACGTCAGCTCTGCAGCCCAGCCCCGAACCAGCGCGGCCGTCCGTCAGGGACGCCGACGGGTGCTCCCTCCCCACACGGTCCTGCGGGGTCTACCCATACGTCTCGTCATTACCTCACAGCCTCGGGTTCTCCCACTGCCTCGGGAGCAGTGGCCTGCTGGGCCTCTGGATGAGGGTAGGGGTCCGACCCCCACATCATGCGAGGCTCAGAGAGGGACACTGCGTGATCTCTTGCAGACCGAGCTATGTGCTCGAATGACTCAGAACTGCCGGGTGACCCTTCCATCTGGTCTCTTCTCATCAAGGGCTTAGGAGGAATCATTCCTGCACAGAAGGTGAGGAAGAGATGGGAGGTGGGGGCCGGGGGATGAAAGAAAGTCACAGAGACACAGAATCTAGGTTATTAATTGTTATTAAGTATTCTTTATACTGAAGTTAAACACACTTTTTGCCAACTAAAACTGATGAACTCAACAAATGATCGTTGACAATGAAAATGAATCAGATTCTTATTGTTGTTGTTAAATTAACAGATTTAAGAACTGAGGAAGCAAAGCGAGCAAAACCACAACAGCAGCCTACTTTACTGTACAGGAGCAAAACTGTAATCAGACAACAAGCAATGTAATTCTCTGCACTCTAATACAAACATAATGAGAATTACACTAACAGTGATACGTTCAGAGTAAACAATTTCCTATAGAAAATTCTATACCTCTAGTTTAATTAGTTGATTAATGCACTAAAATTTTAAAATCACAAAGGATTCTTTTTTTTATTAAAGATTTTTATTTATTCATTTTTAGAGAGAGGGGAAGGGGAAGAGAAAGAGAGGGAAAGAAACATCAATGTGTGGTTGCCTCTCAAATGCCCCATACTGGGGACCTGGCCTGCAACCCAGGCATGTGCCCTGACTGGGAATTGAACTGGCAACCCTTTGATTCGCAGCCTGTGCTCAATTCACAGCCTAGCCACACTAGCTAGGGCCACAATGGGATTCTTGATCACGTTTTTATCACGTTAATTTTCCTTGATATCATTTTGATAATGGATTGTCTTGATTTATTGATAGATTCCATAAAAGGCTGCTTGTCATTTGTTTTTAGCTAAACTATGAGGAAGCAAGTGTTAGCCTGGTAAATGTTGGTAGAAAACCAATAAGCTTGAACACATACGGAAAATTTCAAATGCTACAACAAAAGAATGAAAGCACTGTATGTAGTAAAAAATAGATACTGTTAAAAAGACAGTAATTTTCCACTTTAAAATTTTTAAGTAATATATACAAAACTGGAAATAACTAGTAATTTGATCTTACCAGTGCCTGGCATTTAATTTCTCTGTGCTAAATGAAAGTTGCATCATTTTATGCTTAAAAATATAAGCATCCTTATAACTCTCAAAGGAATTCAGACTAAAAATGGGGGCAAACTGAACACTTCGATCTCCCATCCCTGTAAACGAGTCATGCAACAAAGCAGACCTCAACTCACCGGGGTGGATGGGAGGAATGTCCATGGCAGGTCTCCCCGACATCATTCGAGGGTCCATGATCATGAGCCACCTCGGGTCAAAGCCCATGGAAGCCAAGTGCTGGGGGTGGGGCTGCATGGGCTGGTACAGAGGGCGGTGTGGCGGAGGCGGGACAGCAGCCCCCGACGGCTGGGACGGCACTGCCTGGGGAAGGACACCCTGCTGCTGCTGCTGCTGCTGCTGCTGCTGCTGCTGCTGCCACTGCTGCTGCTTCATCTGCTCCTGAAAAAGCAGGTTCCCACAGCCTGAGATTCTAGTTCCACGTGACACATCAACATGGCCAATCCCACCAGAAATAACAGACTCTTCCGAATCCTTTAGGGAAAAGAACTAAAGACGTTTAACAGTGACAGGTGGCAAGACAAAAGAACAAAGGGTAAGTTATGGCATCTTGACTTAAGCAACTAATCACTCGTTAATTATGCTATAGAAACCATTCCTTAGAAAGGGATGTGGTATCTATGAAGGAGACAAAGGAAAATGACACCGAATTCACATGGAAAAGAATTTTACAGAAAATCAGTGTGCTTTGTATATTCTAGGTTTCATGTCCAAGTATTTCTCAGACTACTGACCAATAAACCTTTCCAACTATACACAACAAAATGTTTTTGTCATTACCTGCTGCCGCTGGAATCGTGGTGGTAAGGACTTCTGAAACTGTTTGAAGTAACCAGATAAAACAGCAGGCCGGGGCTGAGAACCTGGTTCAGGCTCTGTTTCATGCGCCACTTGTGTGGTCTCTTTCTCATTGCGACTGCTGTCTTGTCTAGTGAAAACCAGGTCACCCTCTGCCCAAAGAAGGGATAAAAGATAATGACATTTTTCTGTAACTCTTATCAAATACATGATGTTTGTGCTGAAGTAAAACTATTAGATATATAATAAAAGGTAAGGAGGATGAGATTATCTTCAATACTCCAAAACACTGTTTTGCATTCTAATACTGGTAGCCATCAATGAAGTAACGTTAGATTAACAGAATCTTTGATTTCCTCAAAGGTGGATTCTTATTAATACTGAGATTACATGTCCAAATGCTTCACCGAACAAAAACCTGTATTTGAATTTTTGCAACAATAAAACAATTCCAACACTATCTTCCATGGTTTAATAAACATTAATGCTGATGTCAATATTTACTTGTGGTTCACAAGGACGTATGTGAAAACACAAATGACATATAAATACTTAAAACAGAACATACTAGTTTATTTAATTTTTTTTTTATCAAAGGACTATGATCTATAAAGAAAATGAATGAATCTAAACCTGATAACAACAGAGTGATCACTGGCTATCTTAAAACACATCTGAATCATTACTCCATGAAAGGGGGTCAGGTATGATTATTACACAAGAAGGAGAACCATACACATGCCAAGAAGTTTTCATCCCAAAGAAAACCAGATTCATGTTTGTTCTACAAAATGTCATTTGTCACAATTACAAAGCCAAACCTACTGCAAATTCTTTTCTCAGAGAACTGGGGTTGAATCTTCAAAGGTAGTTAATTTTGCCAATGTAAAACTATGCTGTAAAGAACCACAAAACACATTTTCTTGTCAGCATTACATTCAGCATTAGGAATGTTGTAAAAGGGAAAACAAAATACTGGAGGAAGAGAGCCAAGTAGGCACACCACTCAAAAATCAAATGGATACAGCTCACTGATAAACCTTGTTAAAATTAAACTGCCCTCAGAGATCATAAAATGTCAGTAAACGTACACAATCAACAAAAATTACAGTGCCACTAAATAACTATTTAAAAATAATTAATTTATGTGGATATAGTCACCACTGACCACTAAGTGAATTAATCAGGATTAATACATGTACTCATTGGCAAAACTAGGACTGAATTATGTTATTGAAATTAAGTTGGTATAAATTCAATTGGAGTGTTACAACTTGAATGTTAAATGTAACCTTCACAGTAAAGACAAAAACAAAGTAAGGCTATAAAATACAAACAAAAGGATATGAGAAAGAATTTGAACTTTTTACCTCACAAAATCAAGTAAATAAAAAAGACAGTAAGGCAAGAAATGAGGGACAAAATAGCTGTAAGGCTACAGAACACCAACAGCAAAATGACAGAAACAAGTCCCTAACAAATCAACACTTGCTTTCAACGTCAATGCATTAAACTGGACTGCAGTGAAAGGACAGACTGGCAGAATGAATAAAAACGCGTGATCCAACTGTAATATTCTCTACAAAAACTTCACTTTAGATCCAAAGACACAGAGGTTACAAAGATATTCTCTGGAAATAGTAACTGAAAGAGAGCAGGATGGCTATACTAGTATCAGACAAAATCTACTTTAAATCAAAATACAACCATTATGAATATTGACACACCTAGTAATAAACCACGAAAATATACGAAGCAAAACACTGAGAGAACTAAAGGGACAGACAATTCCACACCAGCAGCTGGAGGCTTGAACGCCCAGCTCCCCACGAGAGTGTATGCAGACAGACGGCGAGAAAAGGGAGCACTCAACGCAGCAGAGGAGCCGGGTCTAACACACACAGAAGACCCCACCCAACAACAGCACGCACACTCTCCTCAAGTGCACACAGGATATTTTCCAAGACAGACCGTATGTCAGGACACCAATTAAGTCTCAAAAGATTTAAAAAGGCAGATATATGATATAAAGTGTTTTCTCTGATCACAAAGGGATGAAGTTAGAAACCAGTAACAGAAGTACAATAGGAAAACTCACAAATCTGTGGCAAGTGAACAACACACACTTACTCAAGTAGTACCTCAAATAAATAACCTAGTGGTATAACATAAGGAATGAAAGAACCAACTAGACTGAAGGTTGAGGGTTACCAGAACAAAGGGTATAACGATCACAGCAGAGATCAATAGAATAGAGATTAGAAAAAGAGAAGATTCATGATACTGAAATCAGAAATAAAATCGGGACATCACAGCCAGTTCTACAGAAACAAAAAGGATTTTGAGAGCACTGCGGACAACTGGCACACCAACAAACTGGACGAGCAGGATGGCATCACCACATTCCCAAGGGCACACAACCTACCAGGACTAAATCACAAGTAACTAGAAAATGCAACCAGATTTTTAACTAGTCAACAGACTGACTCAGTAATCAAAAATCTCACGACAAAGAAAAGCCCTGGACCTGATGGCTTTGCTGGTGAATTCTACTAAACATTTAAAAAAGAATTAACATCCATTCCTCTCAAACTTTACCGAATAATTATAAAGGAAGGACAACTTCCTGATTCATTCTGAGGCCAGCCAAAGCTAGACAAAGATACTACAAGAAAGCTACAGACATGCATCCCTCATGATCAATGGTCCAAAAACTCTCAACACAGCAATGGCAAACAGAACTCAGCAGGGTACTGAAAGGGTGATACACTATGACCAAGTGGGACATACTTCTGGAATGCAAGAATGGTTCAACATAAAAAAATTGATTAATGTAATAAATCACATGGACAAAATTAAGAAAAAAAAAAACAAAACAGCAACACATGATCATCACAACTGATGCAGAAAAGACATTTTACCAAATTCAACACACATTCATGATAAAAACATTCAACAAGCTAGTACCAGAAGGAAACTACCTCAACACAATAAAAGCCGCATATGAAAAACACCCCACTCAATGGTGATCGACTGAAAGCTGTTCCTAAGGTCAGGAACAAGATGAGGGTGTCCACTTTCACCATGTTTATTCAACTAGGTACTGAAGTTCTAGCTAGAGTAATTAGGCAAGAAAAAACAAATAAGATATCCAAACTGAAAAGGAAAAGAACATCTTTTCACAGATGACATGATGTTATAATAGAAAACCCTAAAGATTCCACAAAAACTATTGGAACTAATAAATGAATCCAACAAATTAGCAGATGCAAAATTAACACACAAAAATTACCTGTACTTCTATACACAAACAATATGAAAGGAAATTAACACAATTCCATTCACTAAAGTATCAAAAAGAATAAAATGCTTATAAATGGAAATACATTCCATGCTCATGGATTGTAAGACTTAATATTGTTGTTAACATGTCAATATTGCCCCAAACGATCATTCTTTCCAGAAACAGAAACGCCCACCTAAGAGTCCCCACGAACCTAGAACAGCTGAGACAACCCCGAAGAACGACAGAGACGGACGGCTCTCCCATGCTGACGAGAAACGCTCACTACAGAGCTCCAGTCATGCAGACGGTGTGACGCAGACCCACCGATGGGATGAAGACAGAGTCCCAAAACAAACCATCGGCCATAATGTCCAACGATTTAAGACAAGGGTGCTGAGACCCTCCATGGTGAAAAGGACGGTCTTTTCAAGAAACGGTGTTGGGAAAACTGGATATTCACATGCAAAAGAATGAGGCTGGACCCTTACCTAACACCATATAAAAAGCTTAAATCAAAATGGGTCAAAGACCTACACGGCAGACATAAAACTATGAAACTCATAAGAAAACATAGGGCAAAGCTTGAACTTGATGATGCTGAATTTGGCAATGACTTCTTGGATATGACACTAAAGGCAGAGGAGGCAGCAAAAGGAAAAAAAACCGTACAAATTGGAGTTCATGAAAACTACAGTTTTGTGCATCAAAAAAATATCGAGTGAAAAGATAACCCATGGAATGGGGGAAAATACTGGCAAATCATATATCTGATAAGGGATCAACATCCAAATATATACAGCCAACTCCTAAACTGAAAAACAACCAATTAGATTAAAAAAATGGGCAAAGGACTTGAATACACATTTCTCCAAAAATACACAATTGGCCAATAAACACAGAAAAGATATTCAACCTCACGAATCAAATGCAAATCAAAATACAACAAGATACCAGCTCACATTCATTAGGATGGCAAAAAAAAAAACAAAAAAACAAAAACAAAAACAAAACAAAAAAAACAGAATACAAAAACAAACAAACAAACACAACCAACCAACCAACCAAAAACCCCAGAATATAATGAATGTTGTCAAGGACCTAGAGAGATTAGAAGAACCCCTGCACACTACTGGTGAGAATGTAAAATGGTATAGTTACTGCAAAAAAACAGTATGTTGGTTCCTCAAAAAATTAAAAACAGAATATACTCTATGGTCCAGCAATTCCATTTTTGGGTTTAAACTCAAGAAATGAAAGCAGGTCTCAAAGGATTTCTGTACACTCATATTAACAGCAACATTACTCAAAACAGGTAAACACAGAAAACAATCCAAGTGTTCACCAGCGGACGGATAACCAAAATGTGGTATATATATACAAAGGATTACTAAATTAAAAAAAAAGAAAGAAAGAAAAAGAAAAAAGGAATTCTTGTAATACACTAAAACATGGAGTAGGCTGGAAGACATTATGCTGAGTAAAATAAGCCAGTCACAAAAGGCAAATACTGTATGACTCCATATCAAAAAGACAGAAAGCAGAATGGTTTACCCCCTCCCAGCCCCCCGTGAGGCGCTGGGGGGCGGGGGGGGGGGGGGGGACAGGGAGCTATGGTTCACAGGGCACAGAGTTTCAGTTCTGCAGGACGCCCCGAGTTCTGGGGACGGAGGGTGGTGATGACTGCACAACAGTGTGAATGTATCAACACCACTCGGCTGTGCACCTGAAAGTGGTCAGGATGCTAAATTTCATGCCCCATGCAGGGAAAAGAACATATTAAGGTATCCAGTAAAAGTTCTTTTCTATCCAAAAATTTAGGTTACACAAATTACAACACACAAATACCGACACTGTGAGCAATGAAGGGCTTTGTAAAGCGTACACAGGGACAAACCACTATCATACCTTTATTGCAGCTCTTCTCACTCTCTGGCTTTTCCGCCACAGGCTCCAGAGCAGGCTCTTTGTGCTCCGTTTTCTCCTCCACCTTGTCCCTTTCTTTCTTCTCCAACTCCCGCTCCTTCTCCTGCTCTGTTTTCTGCACTTCTACTTCTTTTTCCGGCTGCCGTTCTACTTCCTTCTCTTTTTCTTGCTTTCTTTCCTTCTCCATTTCTCTCTGTTTTTCCTGCTCTTTCTCCAGTTCCCGCTCCTTCTCCTGCTGCTTTTCCCTCTCCTTCTCTCGTTCCCGTTCTTGCTCTTTTTCGAGCTCCTTCTCACGCTCCCTTTCTTTCTCCCGCTCCCTTTCTCGGATTTCCTCTGGAGTTGGCTGTTTGTCCACGATGCCCAGCTTCTCATCTAATCGTTTCAGTTTCTCGGCACAAGCCGCCTTCCTCTGTTCTTCCATCCTCCGCTCTTCCTCTTCGCGCCGTTTACGAGCGCGCTCCACCGCAGCAGAAAGCTCTGACTGCTGCCTTCTTCTCTGCTTCCATATTTCATCTTCATCTGGCACCGGCTGCTTGGGGGGGAAAGGGCCTGGTCGCCCAGGTACCGCCTGTCGGTCTGGAGGAGGATGCTGAAACGTTCAGAGAAATTATCAGGTGAGACGACAAATCTATTTCTGACTAACAGTGGATATCGTTGGCATGGAGTAAAAGAAAAAAAAAAAACCAACTCCACAAAATGTCAGAAATTATCCTGATAAACATACACATTAGAGTCTAAGTAAGTGAGAAGATGGGGAAAACTTCAAAATCTAGATTAATTCCCAAACTAAAACTGGAATTATTAGTCCAGCCATGTAATATTTACTGAGCATGCACCTATATGCTGTGCTGGACAGGATGCTCACTCAGTATTTGCTGAGTCCGCCGGGAAGCTGTCACAACGTGACGTCAAAATCTAAATGCAGAGGCAAAGGAAAGGGGCTGCCCGCGAGTGCTGCAGCGCGTGAGTTCCGGCGGCAGCTGCTGGAGATGGGATGCCTAGGGAGGGCAAGTCCAGAAAGACGCTCGGTGACACCGCATCAGCCCTGAGGACGCGGGGGGGCTTGCAGGGGGAGGGCAGCCGGCCGAAGACACCGAGCGGGAAGAAGGCGGCGCTGCCCCAGAAATCAGCCTGCGCGCCAGAGTCTAGTTCTAAACCGAGAGATCGAGGCAGGCCTACTGAGGCCCAGAGAGAAGCGAGGGAGGGTCGCTTCGCAGCCTGTGTTTCAATGACTTAACTTTCAATTAATGTGTTCCTCGGTCTGAAATCACTGCCAGCAACCAAGTAAGGACAAGCAGAATGAAAAGGGCAGCAACATTAACAAAAGTTTTAAAAATATTAATAGCTACTAACATGAAACCTTAAAAGCCATATACCTAATGAGAGTCCTAAAAAATAATGGTAGAGTAGAAACATTGGACTGAATATAAAAAACAAACAAAACCCAACAGAAATCTAGCCTCTGACCCACACCAGCAGTGGTGCTGTAGGCAAACCACTTCATCTCTCTGCCGCTCTGTTAACTCCATCTGTACCTCGAAGACACGCTGAAAAAACAAAGCAATTCCACAAAAGTACCCAATTTCCACAGTAAACCCAGAGCAAGCATTTCTTAGAAGCAACTTTGTGGAAGGATGATGTACATAAAGCACGACACACGCACACTGGACGGTGCGGTTTGACGAAGGCGGACGAATGACACGCCCGAACGCCTCTGCCTCCACCTCGCACTGAGCACCCTGATCAGCCCTCCTCCGCCCACACCCGGGCCTGGCCCCCAGGACGGCTGATCCGTCGGCCGGGCTCCTGGACGCGCATCTAGGACTGGGACTGCTGGGCGACAGGGTAAGCGTATGTATGTCTCACTTCAGAAGGAACTGCCCGATGGGCCCCACCAGGGACAGACGAGGGCGCCAGCTGCCCTTCGTCCTCACCAACACTCGGTGCCACCAGCTGTTTTCGTTCGGGGGTGCTGTGGCTTCAACGCGCATTTCCCTGGTGACTAAAGACACTGGGCATCTTTTGATGTACTCTTTGGCCATTTGCATACCTTACTGTGTCACATGAATATTCAAATCATTTAGCTGGGTAATTTGTCAGGCGATCTGTCTTATTACTGAGTTGTAAAGTTCTTTTTTTTTTTAAAAACAAATATATCCCAATATAAGTTCTTAGGTGTATTAATATTTTTTTCTGTGACAAAACTTTTCATTGCCTTAAGAGATGTTTTTAGAGTAATTCTGGAAGGCCTCTACAGTGGTATTATCTGATCACAGAACTTGGTGACAGGAAAGATCTCAGGAAAAGAGCCTTTTAGCCAGGAAACAGCAAATAAAGTGTCTTGAGGGTGATACAAAAAACAAGAGCAATATGCGTTGTGTGGCGAGAACAGGGAAGTAGACAGAGACCTTCAAGACCACGGAAAGGAGCTGAGCAGGACTGACTGGCCTAACACACACTTCGAAAGACTGGATGCGTCTGCTGCAGAGAATCTGGGACGACGGTGCCGGGCGAGCAGGCAGCAGAGAGCAAACAAGACGACCCGCCAACCTACTGCGACGCTGCACACGACCCAGGAAGTGCTCCGTGTGGGGGGCGTCTGGGGGCAGAGGTGACCTCCTGTGCTGGGTGTGAGGTAAAAAAGAAGAGTTAAGAGTGACTTACAGGTTTTAACCTGAGCCAACAGGTGAGCAATGCCATCCCCCGAGACGGGGAAGACAGGCAGAAGCAGGACCGCGGGGCCGTGTGTGGAAGCCGGGGCTGTCACGGTCCGGACACAGTAAGTGTGAAATATCTTTCAGAGACCCAAGTGGAGGTGTGAACTGAAACAGTATTTTCGATCCATGGTTGGGCACCTGAGGATGCAGAGTCAACTGGACAGTCCACGGCTACTTTACACAAGGGACACAAGCATCTGTGGACTTTGGTATCCGCGGGGGGCCTGGAACCAACCGCATGGATACAGAAGGATGACTGTGGTTAAATCTTGGGGGAGTCAAAAGTTAAATCTGGATTTTCAACCACCAGGGAGAGGGGCTGGTGCGCCCAGCCCCCTCGTTGTTCAAGGGTCAACCGCAGCGAGAGAAAGGAACGAGAACATGGCCGTAAGCCCGCAACACCGAAGTTCAGTACTGAGGGTCCAGGCGGATACCAATCATAGAAGGGGAGAAAATAGTATGTCTCAAAAGTAAGCCCAGAAAGTTTTCAAGAAGGATGGAGAAATTAACTATGTCAACGGCTATTGAGATGAAATAAAATGACAAGAAAACTGGACTTGGCAAGATGGTAGTCATTACAGACATTGACGATAAGAGTCCCAAAGGTCTAGTGGGAGATGTCAACGAGAGCAGGTGACGACAGAAAGTGCCAACAGCCTGCTGGAATGGCTCTGCCCTGCGGAGAGCAGAGCAACAGGGCAGAGACGGCCGGGGATGAAGGGTGGTGGGAGTTAAAGGAGGGCTGTTGTCAAAAATGCTATCGTTAGCAAGACAGCACTACCAGCAACCGACAGGAGATGGGACACAGGGAAGAGGGAGAAGTGTCCTCAGCAGTAAGGACGACAGGGAGGAAGCCGACGAGGAAAGACACTAAATGGGAAAACTAGGGGCGCTTCTCCTTTCCGCAGCGAAGCGGGCAGTGCACGCAACAGCGCACAGCAGAGGGGAGGGTGACGGGGAGGCACGCAGGAGGTGCAAGGTAACGTCCACAGCTGTTTCACACAAGTTATAAATAAAACACACACAGAGAATCTTTCCACGCAAACAGTCCAATACAGAGAGACCACAAACCAGTTAAAATTTACCTGCTGTGCAAGCAACTTTGGAGGTGGTGGCAGGTGAGAAGATGGTCCCCGTTCCTATAAAGGGTTATAAAATAATCAATCAGAGGGAAAGTATCTACTGAAAATATTTCTGAATGTGATTATTTCAGGGAGACCTCAAGATTACAAAAAGCAAATCATCATTATCTTTTTCCCATGTTTAACAGAAGTATGCCAGTCACTGGCAAGGCAACTTTACACACCAGAGAAGTACCCTGCAATTTCAATGGGGTTAGAATCCCAAACTTTGCAAAAAGTAGAATTTTAGTGTATAAATTCTGGAAGCACACCTCTAATTTTAAATTTTTATTTATGTAAACCCAATACTTTTTCTGGATTTTATAATAGCAAATGAAAACTGAGATTTACCTAAAGAAAAAAATCTAAAACATGTTGGAACCAGACAGAATATGTGAAATATTCGCTTACTAATATATACATCAGTATCAGGAAACAGAAAAAATTTAGACATCAAAGTATGGTGTACAATATTCCTGTATTCTTTCACATAAAAATGAATTATCATTCCCTATTATGCTAATAGGTTAAAAATCACACAAAACATGGATTTTGTTAAAAAATAATACTTGAAAAACCCTTTTCCAGAGCTCTCAAATGCATCCCCCAGTGGCTAACCGATGCCTTAGGAACGAAGCTCAAAGCCCCTGTACAGCACACAAAACTGACGACGGGTCCTTACACAGCTCTCACTCCTGCTCCCACTGCTGGGAAACCCCTGCTCTTCTGTGTCCACCGGCTAGTTCCTGCTCTGAGTACCAAGTCCCTTGGCAAAAGCTCTTCCAGAGCACTCTCTGTCACGGCAGGTTGTAACTGATGCTTGTTGGCTTGCTTTTCCTTTCACAGAGAATGTGAGCTACACTCTTGCCCCCCTGAAGGGACAGGTTCCTCCATCTGTCTGTATGAGCTCAACGGGCTAGGAGTTCAGTGGACTCTCTGGAAGGAAGCCCTTTCTTATTCCCTGTTCTCAAGGCAACTCTTGTTACATGTTAGAAGTAGGATTGTCTGTTGCCCACATGCTGTCGTCCCTTCTTTAACAATGTTCTTCAAATGGCTCAGAGTTCAGAGATTTCTCTGGTCCCTGCGAGTGATCTCCCTACTCAGGGTACGATTTCACATGTGCTAGGATGTACAAAGTATTCAGTATGCCATAAAGCACTGCAGCAACGGCATTACAGTTTGGCAAAATATTTTATCCCTCTACTTTGATATGACTGAACTGTTACAAGGAAAAAAAAGTAAAACTTTAGTTTCTACTTGATAATTTTAGCTACTATATTAATAGTTTCTGTTATAGACAGTAAAATTATGGTTCAAATCCAGAGCTAATCAAGAAAAAATGTATTTCCTTTTCCTAAGTCTTCTTCACCCAACTCCAGGATTCTAAGGTTCATGAACCCACAGCACCGCAGTGACAAAGCCCTCGGGACGAACAAACCTGACTGAACGGCGGCCCCTTGCCGTAGGGGCCCTTGGCCGCCGCTGGCGGGGCGGGGGGCTGAGACGGCGGCTTGGCGTTGCACCCTTCGTCTGCCTCTTTTCGGGTCTCAGTGGTTTCAGAGGCCTTTGAACCCTGATCCTCACTGGAGAGTAAAAAACCAGAGGAAATAAAAAAGCAGACAGATTTTACCCTAAGTAAATGCATTTTCTTTATGTGAAAAAGACATTACCACCATATGGTGTTGAGGGGAAATCTATCAAGGAATGAGACGAGTTGGGGACACAACAGTGCGGGTTTGCTGACTCAGTCAGTGTGTGCCATGCGTCTACAACGTGGCGGGGATCGGCCTCGGCCAGGTTATCACCACGAGACAAAAAGCACAGCGCAGCCGCTATCAGGCACGGATGCTCACACCCAGCACAGAACCCGATAGTGGGACAGAACCCCACCGTTTCTCTCACCACCCTCAATAAAAACCTCACCTGAATGCAACTAAGTGATGTTACAGGTAATTCATACCTGTATTCTAATTTATACTGACTTAATGAAAAGCATAAATCTAATTACAATATTTTTAAAAATCACAACAAATCACAGGCATCTCACAATCAATTGGTCACGCAACAGCAGTGCGTTACAACTCTGTAAAACTAATAGCTGAAAAACTATACCCATGTCTACATGCAAGTTTCTGCACATGGCAGGAACCCAACTGGTATGCCATACAACCCACACATTCCTGACTTGGACGCCCCCATTTTTTCAGAAGAAAAGGAAAAGCTCCCATTTTCTAAGACATTGGTTGCTAAGCTGAAAAAAATCAAAGACTTGAAATAGCTATTGTAACCCAAGTAATTTTTAACTAGTTTTATAAGTACGAATTAGGTCAAGCAAGTAACAAGTTTTTAATGGTCCTTAATACTGTTTCCCAAAGTAACTCCAATTAGATGGCAAGCACCTGAACATCGTTGTTACATACTGTATTTTGCCGTGTACAATGCACACCCACGTTTCCGTGCGCATTAGACATAGGATTACCATACACATTGCTATATTCATGGTGTGTATATAAACAATGAACATCTTTATTCTTCTCTCAAAAATTAGGGCAAAAAAGCGCACATGATACATGGCAGAATGATTTGTACTTTCTTTAGAAACGTCGAACTTTAATTCCTCGATTGGCTGTACCTTCAAAGTTTAGCCCGTTAATCACCTTCCCACTCAACGAAAACCCCTGGGGCAGAATGTAGAAACTGTTAGTAAGGAACGAAGGCCTGTTAATGAAACCCCTCTGATGAGACGGCAGCGTCCCATCCACACTCAGCGAGGGCCGCGAGCAACACCACGACTTGCCTGCTGTCCTCTTTGGGGCTGCCGCCGCCCTGCTCGTCGTCATCACTGAAGTTCAGCTGCTCCGTGTAGTCAACTTCCATCTGGGCACCTACACAGCGAGGGGACACTCAGAACGACCCTTTCGGAGCACGTAAAGAATAAAAGTAATTAACTGTGCCTCATACCTGCCCAGCCTTCGTCAGCCTCAGCATCGAGGTTGTCGAATTTGTCCAGCTCCTTCAGTTCGGACGCGCTGAGAATGGAGGGGCGCTCGGGCTCAGAGGCCCAGGAGGGAGGGGGGCCTCTTCCTCGAAGGCCTCTAATGAACAAGATGTGGTAGGGGAAAAGGACGCAGAGTTTTAATACTACATTTTAACAAGTAAAAGATGAGAAATTAGCTCATTTTGATTCAACAGTGTTATCTACATGATATAAAAATATTTTGCACCTGACGTGTATGAAATTTCATAACCTTTGGGCAATACGTAATAATTCTTACGCAAGTATTTAATAGCAGGCAAGGTTTTTTAATTGTCAAAGATTTAAAATAAAACAAATGTAGATTAAAGAATGTGGCTAAGACTCATACTAATCTCAAACTACAGAATTTTAAGAAAAACCATCATTCAGGAGGATGCTCAGCATTCAGCAAAAAAGAGAACGGGGGTCCTTAACATTATGGAAAGAAGGAGAAACACATGCCAACTTTGGGGGTCATACTTCCCCGTTTTCAGAGTTTTGTGAAAGACAGTTTAAAGTTTAGGAGGAATAAAGCATTTCTTTGTATGACAGCTAGCCAAGTGCGGCAGTTGTACTTCAATCCTTTCAACCTCCAGAAAATCTTAATGAGCACATAGATGCCTTGAAAACTTGAATCATTTAATCGTCTTACTTGTTTGTTTCAGATAAGGAAGGTGGGAACCGCATGGGACCATGAAGAGGGGGATACGCCATCCTTGGATACTGCTGAAACATCTGAATGTGGGAAACAAACACTGATAAATTTAGCAACCCAGTCATTTAAAGAAATGATCACCCTAAGCCTGAAATTGTAACTGCTACGAATAATTCATTTTATCTGCCAGTACAGATCATCATTCACCCTCAACAACAAGCGCTTTGTAAGACTACTGCCTCCACCAAGTCTTTATGAAGGTAACAACTAATAACTAGCACACCACATAGGGAGAACTTGTAGTCCCATTAACAAATCACATAAACGTGACTGTGTACTGACATGAAAAACTAAAGAAGATAACGTGCAGGCACACCAGAAAACAGCAAAGCCTTAACCAAGTTTGGACATTTGAAAGAAAATAATGTGAGACTTTATCCTAGTGCAGGAGTAGATTAATTGAAGGCAGATGGGCTGATAAAGAGAAACTCAGTTCAGATAAAAAATTAGGGAGTCCATAACCCAAGGGGATGAATGAGAAAGGAGGTGGGTGCGAAGTGACTTGGAGATTCTCTGTACAGAGCACAGGCGGGTTCTGAGTCAAGTCACTACACACACAGTAATTATAAACTGAGGCACAAAAATGATGTTCTCTATGAGAACTTGGCTTGGACAAGCTAAATTTAGAAGAAGTTATAAGACAGATTTTAAAGAGAAATAACACATCAAAGCATTCATTCATCCTATGATTTGAAAGGGAAGAAATATCAAGGAGTCCTTGGTTACTTACTATCTGCTTATAAAAAATGTATTTTTGTTTTTTTTTTTGTAAAATAAAAGACCATTTTTCATTTTCATCAATAACTTCATTGATTTGGATATGTTGAGTATGTCGGCTAACTCCCGTTATTGGCTTCTAGTGGGCAGAGGCCAGGGGTGCTGCTAAACATCTTCCAGTGTGTGAGACAGCCCCACAGCAAAGAATTATTTGGCCAAAATGTCAACAGTACCAAGAAACTTCACAAACCACTTCTGACACATTGGATCAGTCACAGCACCTTCTCCATACACTGCACAAAACTTTTCTGTGTGTTTCAGTTGTGCTTTTACCTTTCTTGAAATGATAAAGCATAATACACTAAAAATGTTGCGTATTTTCTTCCATTTTCAATATTAAAATGGCTGCACAAAAATTCACCAATTTTGTTACTTTTTAAATGCACGCTGATATGACAGCTGTCACAATAAAATCTAACAAAACTGTTTCATATGAAGTTAAAGACAAGTGTGTGCTGCTAGAGCCATCGTACAGAAAAAAACCAAACCAAATTTTTGGCCAATCCAATAAATATATGAAATTGTACTCCTAAAACAGACTACTTTTTCTTAAAAAGAAGTAGCTGTTTGATGAGGAAATTACTTCGTACCTGAAAGGCTATGCTTACATGATTAAGCTGTCTGAAGAAACTCAGGGTCAGAGCTAAGTGAATTAAGTTAAGCAGCAACCGAAACCCCACTGGAAAAGCCTTTTGTCTGGGGACTGCTCCGGAGCACCAGGAGTTGCATCACTCGCGCTTTTGTACTGAAATTATTAGCAAATACACTATTGGGGGCAAATGCTCATAGGTAAAATGCACTGTATCCCCATGCAGACTACCCAGAGTAATTTTGTGTGGTATTAAATGTTTAAAATTTAGAAATTTGCCATAAAATTAATTGTAGAAACAACCTTTAAATTCTCAGTATACGGTAGTGGTTTTCAAAATGCTTTTATTGTTGCTAATTAGTGGAACACTTTATTCAAATGAAATCACTGATGACACTGGCGACAAAGCCCACTCGGTCCCCCCGTTTGCCCCCACCATCCCATCCCGCCCCCACATCCGAACAAGCAAGGGTCTCCGGAAACAGTGAGATCAGCATACAAGTACTTGGGTGTAAATTATTTTTCAAGGACAGGTTAGCATGTGGCTGATTTTGATCACACTCCCAATTTTTTTAAAAGAAAATACTTAACAAGTAATTGTTTTTAATCATTTATTTCCCTTCTCTGCCAGAGAATGGCTAAATAAAAATAATAATTCAAAGTACAGAAAATATGAAAAAAGAAAATATGATATTTAAAGCTCAAATACTTAAAAGTTAAATCATAAAAAAATAAACATAGGAACTATGTTACTTCCTCCCTCTGAGATTAGTGGCCTCTTAAAAATGTAAATTTATTTACTTGGGCACATGTAACTTGCCATATTAATTTCACAGTAGGCTGAGAACCAATGAGTGAGGGCACCAAATCTAACTACTAATTTATGGAAAATATAAGGGTCAGAAGTATGTATTAAACAAGACTACAAAGATTGAAATCAGCACTGAGCAACTCAGACTGAGTTTCCCAACGGGATAAAAGTAATCCAGACTGAGAAACCCAACAGGACAAAAGTAAATTGTAACAGATAAGGTCCAAAGAAAAATAAGAGATGGAGGGAAAAAGGCACCCAAAGATAATGACATTCCTAAGAGAAATATGAACCGATCTCCAGGAACAGACAGTATCTGGGTCCTATTTATGAGACAATAAGGGAAATTTGAGTATTGACTTGATGCTTTTAAAGAACATTTCTTTTCAGGTATGATAATTGCACTGTGAATTCTCCCAATAGTTTTATCTTTAAAAAAGATAACAACATAAGACGCTAGCCAGGTAGCTCAGTTGGTTAGTGTTATCCTGATACGCCCAGTTTGCAGGTTCGATCCCTGGTTAGGGCATGTACAAGAATCAACCAATGAATGCATGAATTAGTGGAACAATTCAGTGTTCTTCTCTCTCAAAATCAGTAAATAAATTTTTAAAAAAGATTACACACACACACACACACACACACATGCACGCATGTCACTGTATAGATATGTATGAAAAGAAGGTATTTGGGAGTTGCCTTAGTAATCCAAGATGGAAAGAAAGTGGAGACAAGACTGACCACAAACTGATTAACTGTTCGAGATGGATGACAGATATGGGGAGAGAGAGGTTCACTGTACTATCTATTTTTCTCATTCTTCATGTTTGAAATATTCCATAATGAAAAGCTAAAAAATTAAAGGTATACCAATAATAAGTTTACAACTAAAATAGTTATTAACCTCCTCTGTGCCATAAACAACCCCTCTGGCTGGCTGACAATACCTGTCATCCCCACTAACGGTAAAAGCACAGGTACTGCGATGTTTCCTATACTTACAGTCAAATAAAATGCTAGTTTTTATTAGGTGTTACTAAAGACCCAAACTTCTCCCCATTTCAGTTCTCTTCTTTGAACCCGGGTCGAAAAGCTCCCACTCAAGCATCTGCTCATCCAGCAACACTCACGTAAGGAGGCATCATGGCGCGGTACTGGGACGCCAGGGCAGGCTGCTGTCCGTTCAGCTTAGCCTGGGGAGGACCACAAGCTATCCTCTTTTCCACCACTTTGAGGATGTCGTTTTGCTCCGATGACCCAGCTGTGCTTTCATCCTGGCCAGGGAGCTTTTCGTCTTGGTCAGATACTGAGGATGAGCCAGCAGACTTACCACCGTCTCTCCAACAAGCAACATCTAGCACAGAGATAGATAAGAAACCAATAAAAAAAAATCTGAAAATGGAACAGAGTGGAACCACACAGGTAGTTCAAGAAAATTTCAGCATGTGACAAGTAAGCGCAGTGAGGGAGCAGGACAAGTCTAATTCAGGCCCTCCTAATGCTTTTAAATGGAAGCAGAGAAGCCACACATCAGAGGGTGTCACCCAAATCAAATACTGGGGCGGGAAGGAAACACTCGTACCTCTCCGCAGAACCTCTCCGTGGAACGTTACTAGCATGTGATAGGGAGTTACCGTCACAGTTACGCCTGTGGTGTCCTAAGGGATGGGGTTCTTCCCCCGGAAGGGTGGGCAGTGAAGCTCTTCCTTTGTTTTCAGTCTACGGTTGCTAGTTACATGGGCCCAAGTGAGCAGACTTAATGATGATACCATCTGGTTTAACTGCACTCAGCCAAATGAGACTGGGAGATGGTTTTACAGGGAAACCTTGTTTGGCCAGTAGCCTCCCAGATGGTCCAAAGGGTCTCTAGCACCTGGCATTCACACCCTGAGTGCCACCCTCTCACAGTGTACCAGGACTGGTCTGTGAAACACGCAGAACACAACAGAAGTGATGGCACATCTCTTCTGAGACTGGGTTACGAAAGACTGGGCTTCCATCTGAGGTGGGCGACGCCCGTCGGTCTGTCCTTACTTTTTCTGGGAAGCCACACTGTGAGCAGCCGCACACAAGCAGAGCCACCACGAGTAAGCCTGGGGCAGGAGCCGCAGCCCAGTCAGCCTTAGACAACGGCTCCACTGCGACTCTGCCGGCAGTTCCTTAGCTGGCCCCAGCTAAGCTGCTCCTACTCCCCGACCCTGAGGCAGTATCAAACCCCAAATGCACTCCAGCTTCTTGTCTGAAGCTGACAAATCTGTTTTGCAGCAACAGAGAACTGATGAAAATCAAGTGAAAACAAAACAGTAGAGATTATACGTCTATTCCTAATAAAAACTCATGATCATTATGACAATTAAAAAATAGAAGATGCTTTATCCAGACCTGACAAGAAATGAGCCAAAAGAAATGTGAAACATCAGGTTATCAGAAATATGGATCTGTAACTATTACTGTAAAGAGGAACTTTCCCCATGTATATAGGTCCTGAGATATTTGGTAATGACAGTATGAAGCTACTAAAATTAATAAGCATTAGAGAAACCTCTCAAAGACTTTATATTTCTAATTTTAGTTTTTGCTTTGTAATGTACATAATGCAAGTTTCTCTCACTATCCCAAACTGATTTGGTTCCTGGCTCTGAGTTCAGAAAGCAAGTGATCCCTGAATATTAACGGTGTAGCAAATAAGTGGATATAATTTATAAATAAGTATTTGCATATGAGAAGTCTGCCCTAAATACTTTACTACTGCAAAATTGACCAAGTGTTACTGTGCAAATAAGTCACCCAGGCACCTTGTTAAGAGGCACACTTCCAACCAGTTCTCAAGTTGGACTGAAGCTGTGCATACAGAAACCGCACCTGAGTGGCGAGCACCTAGCTACTGTCTGTCTGCTTTTGAAAAGCAGGCAAGTCACACACACGACACTAGCAGGCAGGCATCACAAGACATGACACACACACATAATCTCCTTTGGTGTCTTTACTAAACAGGCAGCACTCTTACTTGGTGGGCGTAAACTGGGCCCAGGTCCATAGTTGTCATCATTGGCTTCTTTTTCTTTTTTTTCCTGATCCCCAGCTGCCTGCAGGCTGGGAAATTCTTGCTGAAAATGACTATTCACCTGGATTCCTAGAGGTTTTTTAAGAAAGCATTAAATGTAACTTTCATACCAAAGATAATTAAAAAACCCTCCCTGGATATAGCTCTCTGCCTTTTTTTGATAAATTATTTCACATTTCAATGATGACTAGTCATATCCATACAACTTTTTAATTATTTAGGTTTAGAATCCCTTGGAAAGTTAATGAACAGCCATGAGGAGATAAAAATCCGAGGAAGGAACCTGCCAGACGCTGTCCCAGAGGACTCATTAAGATGGTGAAGCAAGTGCAGAGGTTCACTTCTGTCTCTCTCTCTCTCTCTCATTTATTTCTGTAAAAGTCAAATTCCTTTGCTAATATCTCTAAGAATCAGTTCAAATTACATCATTGAAGTAGAGTTTATGAGTAAACACCACTAGTACCACAATGAGGGTGAAATGTCTTCATTTAATTGACTAACCTCATTTAATTTACCGCTGAGCTGAGATACTGGTTACGCCTCACTATTCAACCCACCCTCCTGCCTGTGTATTTACTTTATACTTCTATAAGTTAAAAGAGCTGATGCTATTAGCCTTAGGGCCTAGGTGGGTTTTTCTGTACTATGTTTTATAGACATTTCCTGTTTTGCTAGCGGAAAATTTTTTGCTGGGGGGTGGGGGGGTGGCCATCCTTCCTCAGGGGGAGGGAGGTACTGCAGCTACTGCGCTGCGTGTCTCCTCCCCGGCTCTTCCCTCCCTGTGCCTGTGCGGGAGTCCTGAGCAGCACGTTCGCAACAGAGAGGCTGGGGCACAGACGGAGATGAAGCGGTTTCTAGCAACCTATGCACTGCCCGGGTGCTTAGGGCCCGAAGACCGGGAAGTGCAAGGTCTTGCCTGGTCGTGGAGGGTTAAGATAAAACAATGTGGGGCAGAGGGCATCTCAAAGACTCCCTTTGAAATCCTGGTCATTTTTATTAGGGCATGCATGGCTCTTGACAGAAACTTCACTAGCCCAAGACATTTTTAAAGACCCCCCACAGGGCCGGAGCATGCCCTGTGAGGATGCTCTCCGGCCCCGCCAGCATGCTGAAGCGCCCGCATCTCCTGCATGGCTGTTCAGTAACTACCGAGCCTGACCAGGTTCCCCGGCTAATGTCCACTTACCATCTCCTTGCCCACCTTGCTTGTTACTGGCCCATGATTTTGGAGCAGGTGCTACTTCTGGGGGAGCTGCAACCCCAGGTTTTGGCTGTGCTGGTGGAACTTCTGGCGTTCTTAAAAAAAATATGAATCCATTATTTCAGATATTGTATGTTTAAATGAAACAGATGGAATACTACACCTAAGGTGAGTTCCTGTGCCCATGATCCTGGCTACACATTCACTTGTACATGTAGCCTCCACAGAAGCTTCCCTCGGCAACACTCCTGTCAGCACAGCGCGGTTGTTTCTGTCCCCTCTCATGTCTCCCTTTCAGTAAATAACCCGAGGAAAAGACAGCTCTGTTCGTTTTTCACTTTGCAAAGAAAGAAACACTCATTATTGAACACAGCTCCCAAAAACCTGTTTTGAAGAAGTGAGCATTTATAACGAGAAGTACCAGCGCAGGCATACATATGGTCTGGACTAACAGAATTAGCCCTGGGGCGAGGCTAAGCAAGTTCTCCACCGGGCAGTCAACAGGTTCGCGCCTGTAATTATTACTGTATTCAGAGCTAACAGCAACCTGCCTGATGCACCCCAAGTAAAAGGTGTTTGAAAAGGGGTCTACACAGGTTTATTCAATCCTTGTAATAAGCTGATTGTTTAAAAATGAAAAAGGTGGTTAGCAGACTTAACAAATACAATCTATTTCTGGTATACTCAGACTCTTACTATTACGACATAATTCTACAACTAGGAAGCAAAGGTCAGTCTGACTTCGACAGGCTTCATTTTACTAGTCAAATTTTCTACAGAGAGCTGGCTCCCCAAACAAGAGTATAGAAAATCTGGTAACAGATACAGGCAAAAAGCACCAAGTCCCCAAATGCTTGCCTTATTTTTTAAAATTACCACTACCTAACTTGGTCATTTAATAAACTAAGAGCCCTGCATAATCCTTGACATACAGAATGTTAAATATTTACTGACAGAATGTTAAATATTTGCTGAATGAATGATGATCAGTAAGGACATTATTAATTCTATGCTGGCTTTCTTATCTTTATCCATTGAAACATTACTTGAGTACCTACAATGTGTATCAGGCATAGTTCCAGGGAACCAGGCAACCAAAAATTCCTATCATACAGCCCTGGCAGGTGTGGCTCAGTGGATTGAGTGCTGGCCTGTGAACTGAGGGACCGCTGGTTTGATTCCCAGTCAGAGCACATGCTGGGGTTGTGGGCCAGGTCCCCAGTGGGTGCTGTGCGAGAGGCAACCACACATTGATATTTCTCTCTGTCCCTGCCCCCTCTCTCCCCCTCCCTCCCTTCCCCTCTGTCTAAAAATAAAGAAATAAAATCTAAAAAAAAATTTTTTTAAATCAATCAATCAATCAGCGTACAACCTTTTGGTGTCTCTGGGCCACAGTGGAAGAAGTTGTTGTCTTGGGCCACACATTAACTACATTGCGACTCGTAATCACAAAAGAATCTCATCATGTTTTCAGTAAATTTGCGATTTTGTGTTAGGCCGCATGTGGCCTGCGTGTTGGACACCCCTGTAAGAACCCACTTCTAATCACAGCAGAAAGAGAATGCCTGATTTGGTGGGAGTGAGAGAGGGAGGACCCGACAAAGCATATATGAAAAGTTGTCACGAGCAATTGTCACTGCTATGCCCTGACACATGGAAATACCGCCACTACCTCCACGCGGAGGGAGGAGGGATCCAAAGTCGTACGTGGAAGACTCTAAAGGGCACGAGACACGCCATATGCGCAGCACGACACCTAGCACGCACGAGGAACTCGAAGTTCCCTGCAAGGACGGGGACTGGTCCCATTCTTTAGCAGACGCTGACTTACTTTTCTTCTTCATGCTGCTCTTGCTTTGATGCCCACCCTGTGCCGTCTTTAGGTACGATGTTCACATTGGGGTCGTTGCCTTTGTTTTCCGCTTTGAGACTGGGGAGGTTGGCGGGTGGAGGCATGCGCCGTGAAATACCGACTTTTCCAAGACTCTGTAATCCATGTCGAGCTGCAACTAAAGATCAATAACATCAACTTTCTTAGAACATCTATTTTATCACCCACCTTATTCTTAAAAACCATATAGAAACAGGAATTAATAAAATCTGCAACTATTATTTTCTAATATTTTAAGGTAAGAATCTGTAAGTCAGACACCTGCAACAATATCCAATGCAGAAATTGTATTTAAAATAAACTATCAAGCCACTGAACAAATGCTGTAAAAATTCTAATAATAAACTCTGTACACTATGAAAAAAACACTGACGATGCTGTTTTGTATTTTCCAGGGACTCTATTTCAAACTCAAAACTTAGCATGTTAAAGAATAAATATGCCAACTTTATATGCATAATGAAACTGCCAATGTAATACATGGTCCAGTTTTAACTGCAAACACTGGGTCCAAGGTATCAAAAACCAAAACAAAACACCACAGGACTCTCTAGTGCATAACTCGGGGTGGAAATAAACACCCACTGATCTGTAGCTCTTTGCCTACCAATCCTACTGACTGAGTTTCCCCTTTGGAGCCCCACAACTGTACTGACAACAAACAAGGAAAAATAAATGTATTTAAACGTATTTATGGATTTTTAATTGTAAGATATTTACTTGATGCCCCGTGAAAAGTGTTGCGTATATAAGTCCAATGTAAGTATGGTTTGTCCCAGTTCCTAACAGCAAGAGCCCCAGCGTATCACCTCTAGTAACAATAGCACAAAACCCTAAAAATGTAAATGCCACTTGATTTTACTCACCTGTGGTTTTCTGAGTTTCTAGTGATTTACCCTTGTACGTATTAAATAAACTGAGTGTTGCATACTTTTTCCCATCCTTTGCTTTTGTGCTCTGGCCTGACTTCTCCGACATTTCGGTGGAAACTCATCGAGTCCGAAACCTCCTGCCACACCCCTTAAAACCAGCCTTTAAGATGCACATAAAAAAGAAAAGTAAGAAAAGTTTTAGAATTAGCTTACTAAATACTCCTCATATGTAAATGTTTGCAGAAATTCTGAGAAATAAAAAGTGAAAAATTCAATCAATCTTCAGTAACTCATACCAATAATAATCCACAAACTACATCTCATCCCATTTCCCTTCAATTTAGTAAGGTGCACACACACGTCAGCCTTAGGGCTGTCTGTCTGGAGGGGCTGGGGCACAGCAGGGCAGAAAGTGGCGAATTCTACCAAGAAGTCACCATGGACAGCGGAGGCGCAGGAGTCAAAGATGGCGCAGGACAGGTACATCCTGCAAAAGGCATTCAAGGTCAAGGAGCAGGCCCTAAGGACATAACGATCATTTCATATTTGTCCACTGCAGGACCAGCATCACATGCAGGATGTGGTTTTATATGCACACCAACTGCCACACACACAACATTTGTGTAATGCCACTTAATTTATCAACAATTTCCGCATTATCTCGTTCCAGTCTAAAAACCAGATGGCACAGTCAGCACTCTGGTTTGACAGACAAGGAAGCCAACGTTGAGAGGTAACTGAGACTGGATCCAAAAATCAAGGCTTTTGGGTCAGTCCACGGCACCAGACCACGTCCCCCTCACACAGCCAGGTGACCTCTCAGTGCTCTGAGCACACATTTACAGTAAGCCACCAGTCCTGGAGACAAACTGTGAAAACCTCATCCGCAGCTAAAACCACCCTGGTAGACAGAGGGGTTGCTATCGTATGCAGAAGAATGTAATCAATTATACCCCGAGGGTGCTGAGAATGACGACAGGGTGAAGAGAGCTGTACTCCCAGAATTTGTCCTTGTTGACAGGTGTTCACCAATAACAAAAGACAGGGGAAGACTATTCAACCACAATGTATGTTCACTAGTCAACGTATTGAGGAAAACAGAACCAAAGGGTCGCTGGTTCGATTCCCAGTCAGGGTGCATGCCTGGGCTGCAGGCAGGGTCCCCAGTGCAGGCCGTGCGAAAGCAATCACACACTGATGTTTCTCTCCCCTTCTTTCTCCCCCCCTCCCTCTCTCAGTAAAGATTAAAAAAAAAAAAAAATCTTAGGGAAAAAAAGAGTGGGTACTTTTAGTGTACAGTCAAAGTTTAATTTAGCCTACTACCTTAGTTTGGTGTTTCACTTCTGAAAGTCTTGAGAGACACCCTGAAACAGTCAACAGGTTGAAACTTCATTCAACATATGCTTGAGAGAAAAGGCAGGGACCAGTTCAAAAATTAAAATTACTTTTAGGAATGCAAAACTACATAAAATAAAATTATGTATTTTTAAGAAAGATTCCTTTTAGGACACAGTGTCGAAAGAGTTCAGCCCATTCAGAATAAGGACCATCGTAAGACTTAGCTTCACTTTGTATAATTACATAAAAACATTTTTAAAAATGTAATTCCTGTTTGGATGCCTAAAGTGAATCAATGAATCAGGGGCCCACAAGCAGGAAGGACAGCAATAACGGAGACGCGACACAACGAAGTGAGCCCCCGGCTCCCGGACTGAGCAGGAGCGCAGTGGGGGCTGAAGACTCCCCGGGCTGGTTCTGAGTTCCTCCTTTTTCCAAGAGAGGCTTGCTTTTCATCTCCAATGGATTCACTTCCACATTTCCAGCTCTATCTGTTGGTTAACAATGTAGCCACAAGAATCTTAAACTGCTTTCCTATCAACAACCCTAGGGACAAAAACATTATTTGTGACTCCTTACTGATTGTGACATTTTCTGCTTCAATATTAGATCTATTATTACACTGTTTCTCATTATTCCTTATCAGGGCCGCTGCTTTCTGCAATTTCAAATCTCACCAAACTGTGTGCCTCCCTTGCACCCCTCTTCCCTTGAGTAAAGAAAAATAAAACTACTCCTGCACGTCTCCTATACTCTTAATACACTAGTTCCCTTCTGATATTTCTGGTGGTGCATGCGCGTGTGTGTGTAAGGTGGGGGGCGGTTCCCCACACCCAGCAATTCTTAGATTCTCTGGCCAACTAGTTGGGTGTCCTACAATTGAACTCAATTCCAACACTATCTACCTGGAGATGGCATCAAATCCCTCAGGTGAACAAGGGATCATCGCTGCCATCGCGGCCACCACTTCAGATGCCATTTAAAAGCCCAGGGTGTTGCCTGGGTCTCTGACTGGCTGGCTATAAACCAGAGGTTTGGTTAGTTTAGCAGAGCGTTGCACAGGATCCAGGGGAACAGTGCATCTACTAGATGACTGGTTTATTACAAAGATGCTCAAGGACACCGCCAGAGGAAGAGGTGTGCGGGAGGAAACCCAGAAGGGTCCGGAGCACGCGAGTCTGTGGTGCTCCACCTCCAGGAGGTCCCCCAACCAACAGAGTTCAGGGATTTTAATAGCACTGCTGGTTAAATCACTGGCCATGGGCTATGAATTTAACCTCCAGTTCCTCTCCCCTCTCTGGAGGAGGATAGGGCCTCTCTGAGGAAAAGGCTAGTGTGGCTCAGCAGGTTGAGTGCCCACCTGGAACCAGAAGGTTGCAGGTTCGATTCCCAGTCAGGGCACACGCCTGGGTTGTGAGCCAGGTCCCCAGTTGGGGGGTGTGTGAGAGGCTACTGATCAGTGTTTCTCTGGCACATGTTTCCCTCCCTCTCTTTCTCCCCCCTTCCCCACGGAAGCAATGGGGGACCATTAGATTCTGAGCAGATAGCTGTGCCTGTCTAGAAGTCTCATCTGGCTACAGGTGGAGAATGCGGACGGGGGCCAAGAGAGGAATGCAGAGACACCGCAGACGGCAACAGCCTAGACACAGATGATGTCGCTGTGGCTGGAAACGGGAAACTGGATACAGGATAGTTGTGAACCTTCCTCACACCTTCACAGCTGCTTGCAAGTGCAGCAAGGCCTCTTCCTTCTGAGAGCTGGCTTGGGAACCGGACCCACACGCAACAGTTTCCGAGGGACGACAGATCTCTCTCGTGTGCTCTCGTGCCTGGATACTAAAGCCTCACCGAAAACAAGGTCCTCTCCAAGCCCGCTGAGCAGTTAGTGTCTTCTCTGCAAGACCTCGGGGCACAGCCATCCTCTATGGCTAGCACAGGAGAACACAGGACCTCCCTCTTGCTTCAGCAACACAGTCATTCAACAACAGCTACAAACAAACTGGGTTGAGAACTAATAAACAGGGCTGGGTTGTGAGAAGATAGACGGGGACCCTGTCTTCATGGACCTTTTAACAAACGATAAATAAGTAAACAAAAACACAGGGATGGAAAACCTCACTGGGTAAAGGGAGAGCAAACAGGGGAAGAAGTTGGATAGGATGGAAAAACCCAGGCTGCACAGACTTATCCAGGAAAACTGTAGGAGACACTCCAGTCCAGGCCTCATGCCAGACCAATTAACTCGGACCTGCTGGGCTGGGCTGGCAGCGGTGTTCTTTGAAAAGCTCCCTGTGGGCGCCTGCAGGACAGACACACCGAGAGAAGCACTGAGAAGGCAAGCCAGCTGTAGTCGGGAGAAGGAGGTGCCATTGTAGACAGGGGCCATGCCTGAGGGGCAGCGGGGAAGTCGGAGAAAGCCAGGGTAGGTAGAAGGCACATTTAGCAGAACCCAGCAGTTAGTCTGGGAAAAGCTGCATTGCCTGAATTTATTCTAAATGCCAGGCAAAAACTAATTTTAAAAAATCTCAACAGCTGAGTTAATGCTTGGCTGCATTCAGCAGACCCACACTTAAATAACAAAATTGTACAATTTACATAAAACAGTAATTCAAAACCCTTGAAACAGTAAGGTCAACAGGAACATTTCTTTTCCACTTGCTAACTTCTGATTTCAAAACAAGGATCGGCACAGTTACAGGAAGGGGACCAAAGAACTCCATCATTCTTCTACCACTTTTAACTTTGAAATGTTCCTTGTTATTTGTATTTGTATGTTGTTAAGAATACTTTTAATGTTACTGTTCTGCTTGCTGTGTACCTAAAAACTGAAGTCATTAAGAGCTGAGAGTAACAGCAAAATCAAAGCCATCTGAATAACACACCCCCTTTCTCTGTTTAAGGGACGAGAAAGCAATCATATTCCTAAATTCAAGATTCCATGACCAACTGAGCAATGCCAGCAACAAACAAAACACCTAGCATTTTTCATGGAAATTAGGTGCACCAAAACATGTTCATATGCATTTTCCAGATTTTGAACAGTTAATCACCATGTAAACAGATATTTTTGTGGCAAAAAAATGTTAAGATAAGAAAAGGAATAAAGGAAAAACCAGTGTTTCTAAAGAAGACTGTTGATTAAGCTGTGATCCCTAAAATTCCTTCAGTGCTAAAAATTATGAGAGCCTAAGGTTACTCATTTATCAATCACAAAAGGATTCAAAAGTATTCGATGCCGAAAATATTTCAAGTCATATTTAAAATCTAGTATATTTGGCAAAAAAAAATTGCAAATTGTCAACTTGGTAAATTCAGCTAAAAGACAGTCATGGTTCCAGCCATGATGGACTTCTAAGCATCCACCCAGGTTGTGCTTTCTCCTTTTCCTCATTTTTCCCGGAGTGAGAGTTTAGTTCCTCTGCTAAATATAGTACAGTGCCCCGCTGATTTAAACACTTAGCATTCAAAAGAAACCGGAACCATTTCCAGATGAGAGCACGGTACACACTGCACAAACATCTTACCGAACAAGTCGAGGAGTAGGTCCACGAAGCAGCACGTCGGCCTCCCGTACAAGCACAAGGAGTCGCAGCTGCTTCGCAAGCCATTTTCTTTGGTCTCTGTGACCCCGCCGCCCTCAGTCCCCTTTCTTCCCGCCCCTCGTCCACGCTCACGCTCACAGGCTGCCGCCATCTCTCCCCCCCTCTCCGCGTGCTTTGCGCTTTGGCCGCCCCACCTCTGGCTCACCGCTTTCAGTAAGGATGATTCCCAAAACCTTCCTGCAAACTCCAGTCTTCAGACATACCTTTTTAACTGTCTATA